TTTTGGATTTCAACTCCAGTCTATCGATCTATATGTCTGCCATGTGCCAGTATCACGTGGTCCTGATTGCTGTAGCTTTGTAGTAAGTTTTCAAGTTGAGAAGTGCAAGTCTAACTTCATTCTTCCTTTTAAAGACATCTTGTCTCTTGGATTCTTTGCATTTTCATATGACTTTTAGGCTAAACTTGTCAATTTCTGCCCAAAAAAGCCACCTGGGTTTTTTATAAAAGTACACTGAATGTGTGGATCTTAATAGTACTAAATCTTCTGATCCATAAATGCAGGATGTTTTTCCATTTACTTAGGTATTCTTTCATTTCTTTGAACAGTGTTTTACAGTTTTCAGTGTACATGTCTCACGCTTCTTTGGTTTGATTTATTCTTTCTGATACTCTTGTAAGTGGAATTGTTTTTCTGAATTTCCTTTATGGATCATTAATTGTAGTATACAGAAATAAGAGTTGGTTTTCATATGTTGATCTTGTATCCTGCAACCTTGTTGAACTTGTCAATGAGTTTAATAGATGAGATCAATGTTTGACGTTGAGGTTGAAATTCATGGGTTGGGTAACTTGTGGTGGGTTAGAATGGCTAGTGATTTACTGGAAAAACAAAAACAAAAAACACCACCACCACTTGGGATTTGACTTGGCTGACAGGAGAGGTCATCTTTTGGCGGGGTTGCCCCTGACATAGATAAAAGGGGCATGAGTTGAGTCAGTGCAGAGGAAGGTGCTGTGGCACCCTTGTAGGAGAGCAGTAGCTCTCCACCACTGTGCCTCCTTTCAGATCCTCGATGCTTCCTTTCACCTGTTAGTAACTCCCCAAAGCAGCACAGCCTCTCCCAATGGGGCCACTGACCTCCACATTGGAATCACCCAGGGGATCTGTTAAACATAGAGTCCCCTCCTCACCCCAGACCTGCAGTGCTAAATCAGAATCTCTGGAGCAAGATCTAGGATTCTCACATATCCTAAAGCACCCTGTCTAGCATCTGCTCCCAAGATTTTCTAGCCTTATTCAGGCCCTAGACTCCTGCTTAGCAAATGATCTTCCCACCGACGTAATCACCTAAGGCAGAGTCACTGGTTATTCATGGGGCTCTCCCCCATCTTCCTTTGTCTTTAATCTAGATAGAGCAGCAACTCTTCATGTCTCATCTCTTCCTGTCCTTCTCTCGCCCTCCTTCATTAGTTACCTGTACCCTTGACCCCATCCCTTTCCATCTGCCAGCAGCTGGCTGGACAAGAACCAGGATGCTGAGAACAGAGTGTGAGCACCAAGGCAAAGAGCTGGAGGAGGCTCCAGAGCTGTGCCCTTGTGCAGGCGGGCAGGCCAGGACCGCCTGGTGGCTTCCCAGGAGCAGAGCATTTCCCTTTGGGGATGCCCTTTCTAGATTGCCACTGAAGAGGGTGGCCACACATGCAGACAGGCAGATATGTGAAGGGCCCACAGCTGAAGTCAGATCAATGCATTAAATCATATTTGAAGTGTGGTATTGTGTATTTCTGGGCATTCTGAATCCTTGAGTATGGCACTGTTGTATTTGATCAGTGCTGTATGTAATCCACTGATGCAGTTTACATACAAATAGATAAATATGCACCCATGTATATCATTAAACAGCAAGTTGTCGGGCATCAGCAGTTGCTTTTTAGTCTTCTTCCCTTAAGTATTTGAGATCTTCCCTATTTTGAAAACCTACTTGTCTGACCTTGCTCCCTCCTCGAGCCATCATCTGCTTTTCCCCTTCCTCTCCAAGTCGGACTTCTCCAGCGAGGGTGCTGCCCCCAGAGCTGTCACTTCCTCATCACCCCACCTCCCCCCAGCCCCCGCCGTCTGCTCTCACCACTGCAGTCTGCACGGGGATACCCAGTGGGGCCCTCGGTGCTAAGGCCAGTGACGCTTTTCTCAGTCCCCTCCAACCACCTCCGCTCTGGTGTCTGTTCCTCTGCTCGCCCGTGTGCAGCACGTGGCCCTTCCTTAGGGGCTGGCCTTGGCCCTTCTAATCCTCATTCCCTGTGCACCCACCCTGGACACTGTATCCCACACTCACAAACTGTCTTTAGATCTTTCTCCTCAGACCCTTGTTTCTAGCTGCCTGGTAGACATTGCATCCCCAAACATCTCAGACTTAACATCCAAACCCAAACTGCTGTCCCTCAGCAGGGCCTGGCCTTCCCTGCTCTTTAGTTCTTGTCACCTCTTCCAAGGGAGCCTGCCTGAGATTCCCACCCTGAGTCAAATTTTGTCCCCTGAAACCGCTGAGCTGGCTTATTACCCAGTCCAGCTTCCTCTTAGCTGTGTGAGGAAGATGAGGCCCAGAGAGTTAAATACTTGCTCAGGGACACATGGCTATGTCCCCCTAGAAATCACTCTCCAGCGCTCTTTACTCCAGACTGGAGTGCCTTCCATTGCTCTCATGGCGTGTAACCACCGAGTGTCCACGTGTCCACGCTGGGGTGCTTGGCCTGTCTGTAAAATCACATGGCCCTGGAGGGGCTGTCTGTGGTTCTCATACAGCATGGTTGAGATCCCCATTGTGCCTCACTGAGAACTTGTCACATAGTCAGATAAATATTTAATGGATAAATGGAAGAAGACAGTCACCTGGCAGATCTCTCCAGATTAGGGCCCAGGGCAGGGCCGATGTAGACACTCACTCAGGCAGTATTTAGCAGTTGTCTGATGATGGGGCAACTTTAAGTATCTGGCTGAGGTGTTTGGACTCCCTTCTGGGCAGAGGAGCAAACTCAGGAAGGCAGGGTGAAGCAGAAGGCAGCAGCAGAAGGCAGGGTGGCGAGGCAGGTGCTCCAGGAGGAGAGGGGGTGGAGGGATGGGCCTGGAGTAGCAGCTTCGGGGATGGAGAGGAGGAGACACGGGTGTCTTGAAAGGAGAAGGAACTGGGGAGAGGATGCTGCCAAGGTGGGGCTTGGGTGAGGGTGGTACTGCCGTTGAGAAGCAGAGTAGGGCCAGGCCTCCGTGGAGCATGTTCTCTGGAGGATGTTTTGGACCAGGACTCCTGTGTCACATGCACAGTCTCAACTTAATTCTCAGAATAACCATTTCAAGTAAGTGTGGTCAGCCTGGCCAGGGCTTGAGACCATTAAGTCCATGTTTGAGCATGAGTGTCTGACCTCACAGACTGTCCTTTTATCCCTCGGTGCCTCCCAAACAGAGCCTAAGGAGACAGACTGGGAGCTCAGGTTACAACCTCTGTTTGTGTGGATCTGAGGTAGTGATGCTGTGTCATGGTGACACTGCCAGGCCACTCATATCCCCCTCTTAGATTAGGAACATCAGAAAATCAAGTCCATGTGTCCTTTCTCCTGTCTCCATCCATCTCAGAAAGAATTAAGATGGAAGAAAGGACTTGCCAATGGTTAAGAGTTTAGAAGCCCCAGGATGGATGAGGCCATTCTCTGGGAGAGATTTTTTAGGGAAGTGAGTTCCCTTCAAGCCTCTGAGTCTAGACTTGCAAGTGGACAAGATAACTTCTGGGTCCCTTGCAGCTCTCAGGTTCAAGCAGACCTCTTGTCAGCTCTTCCTTTCCTGTGGGGCCTGCTGATTTTTAGACCTATTCAAGGGTTTTGTTTTGTTTTGTTTAGTAACTTAAGTTGGAGCTAAGTAATTGAACATAGAACCAGGAAATTCTTCCCCTGGCCAGCCCAGACCCCTTCAGAGCAGGTGGAAGGAGTCCTCTGCAGCTTCTGTCAAGGCTCCCGCAAACCCAGCCAGTTCTGGAATGTTCTTTCAGGCTGCTGCTTGCAAAGCCCTGGGCTAGGTGCTGGACAGGCAAGTAAACAGGGAGGATTCAGTCCCTTCCTTCCAGGATTTACAGACAAGTCAGTGCACAGTTATGGCATGTGGAGGCACGGGCTCTGATGAGGATGTCTGGGAACCAGGGCCACATTTCCGGTCCTCCCCCTGAGGCGGGGGTCTCCGTGATCTCTGGCCCGCCCAGGTTACCTTCCACGTCCCCTTGCTACAGTGGGCGAAGGAGGAGGCTTTCTTTTGGTTTGTTTGGTTTTAGGAGTTTCTTTGGTTGTTTTTACAGAAATCCTATCTTGGTTTTCAAAATCAGAGAGAAAGGAGCTTTATATGATATACTTTGAGGTTTGTCGGCAAGGAGGCATGGGTGTTGGCTGAGGAGTTCGTTTCCCGAGTGGCATGTGCCTCCCCTCCATCCTGCAGGTGGGGGAGAGCCTGCCTGTGACTCCAGGTGCCCCAGGCTGACCTCGGCCTACAACGCCACCTCCCAATCCCTCTCTATCAGAAAGGAGCCCTGCCAGAGGGTGCAGGTGGCCTCCCTGCAGCTGTGCTGCTCAGCCCAGCAGGGCTTGCGCCTCTTCGGAGGCGTTTGTCTGAGCCCTGCGGGCCCTCACCCCTCCTCTCCTGGTACCACTTGATTCCAAACAAGGGGAACTGAAGGTTCTCCCTTTGCACCGCCTCTCCCTGCTCTCCATCCCCCTCCCCCCTCCAGATCCCTCTACCCCACCAAATGCTGGGAGCCCTGGGCTCAGAACTGGGAAAGGGGAGAAGGGTGGCTCTCGTGCTCCGGTTTCTCCTAACTTTCCTCATCCCTGCTTTTACTTTCACTGCACACATGCCTGTGCCAGGCACCGACTTAATAAACATTTTGTGGGCATTGCCCCATTTGAAGTTACCACCAGCCCAGAGGTAGGTCCTCAGGTATCCCCCCGTGCAGATGAGGCCACAGGCTCTCAGAGGTCATCACTGAGTTTGAAAGCAGCAGCCTGTCTAAATAGCCAGCAGGGCTCTGCCTCCTGTCTATTCTCCCCTTCTTCCGGCTTTCCCTTCCCCAAACGTGAACTCTGACCCAGTCTCAGGAAAGGGCAGCTCCCGTCAGCCCCCCAGCAGCCCTGTTAACACAGTCACATTCACTCTCAGCTCCTGGTCGAACAGCCTTCCCCGCCTCTGGCTCGTGTTCCTGTGCTGAAGTGCTCATACCTCATCTTTCTCTCCTCCCGTCCCCTCAGGACCCTGCAGGCATCTTCGAGCTGGTAGAGGTGGTTGGCAATGGCACCTACGGACAGGTGTACAAGGTGAGGCTCTGGGTGTGGTGGGAGGGGGCCCTCTCTCATGGGCCTCTCTGGAGTGGGCCGCGGTCTGGAGATTTGACAAGGGCTGGAGGGATTACAGGGGCCGGGGGCCCTGGGAAAGGAGGGGACCCAGGGAAGGAGAGGAAAGGGATAAAGTCAGGAGGAAAGGAAGCAGCGAGAGGCGGTGTTTTTACTGGCCTCTACCTCTGAGCTTAGAACCAGCCCTGGGTGTGGCAGGAATAGTCTGGAGCTGGGTGGGGTGAAGAACAGGACGCAGAGGGCAATGGGAAGGGTATGGGGACATGTGTGACCGAACTCAGTACAGGTTTGGCTTCTCCTGAGTCCACAGGAGACCCAGGACTTGGGGTCAGTGGGACCTAGACGGGGCACCCTCAGCAGAGGGGAACCCACTTTCTTGAGCTGCCCTGACCGGCCTGCAGCAGGACTGGGACCGGAGCTCAGGCCTTCTGCTTTTGAGGCTGCCTCCCTCCCCCGCCTCCACAGCAGAGGCATTTCCTCGACCACGGACTGTGGCTTTTAGCCTGGCCAGTCTGGCCCTTCACGTGGTCTAACTACCGGTCACACTCCACAGGGGAGGCAGCCGCAGCAGAGAGGTACTCAAGGTGGATGCTGTCCCCAAGCACATGCCTGGCTGCTTCGGCTCCAGATACAGCTCTTGGCCTCTTTACAAGTCCCCTGTGTCTCAGGGACCAGGGTTTCCTGGGTCACTGGGACTACCCACCTGTCCCTTACCCTTCTTCTCTGTAAGCTTTGGAAAGCAGGTGCACCCCCCCACCCCAGTCACCCCATCTCTTGCCTAGTTGTTGCCATGGAAATAGCAGCTCTGTGTTCTACTTCTCTGGGCTTGGGGTCGTGAAAAACTGCTGGGGATAAAACTAATCCCTGGGCTGGCAATCCCCTCACACATACCTTTCTCCTCCCCAGGAAGCCCTGGACTTTCCTACTGGAGCATGAGATGACTCCTGCTAGGGATTTTGGAAGGATGGGAGGGGCAGAAGGGGACTGGCAGGGACACACTCTAGAAGTTTCTTCCCATTAGCACTGGTGCTGGGGTATCCACACAGCAGTCAGCTCTCCCGTGTTTCTCCAAGTTCCCTAAAATCTCAGCCCTGTCTACTCTCTCCTGTTAACAGTAGTAAAAAGCCCTGTGTATGTGTCTGAGGGGGGGCGGGCAGTGATTCTGGGAAAGGCCTCCTGTCCAGAGAGGTGAATCAGGAGAGGCCCCAGGCAGTCTGTCTTGCATAGAAGATACTGGAGAGGCAAAGCCCTCCTCCCCCAGCCGCCTCTCCCAGCTCCACGCCGCTTCATCTGAGGATGGAGAGGGAACCTTCACTCCCTGCTCTAACTTTCAGACAAGGCTGTCTAAGCCAGAGAGGCTGGGGCAAAGCACAAATGTCTCTACCTCATCCCTCTTGAGTGTTTCAGGAGAGGAGACCCTTCGACTCTATCCAGCTTAGCACTTGGAATCCAGGTGCGGTGATTTTCCTACAACCAACTCATAAACTGAGGTGTCTAGCCAGGGGCATTTTCTAAGATAGAAAGCAGCCAAAAATTGTGGCCTCTCCCAGAATTAAGCCCCTCCTGAGTGCAGACCTGACCCCCCATGCCTGGCTGTCCGTCCTGCAGGGTCGGCATGTCAAGACTGGGCAGCTGGCTGCCATCAAAGTCATGGACGTCACAGAGGTAAGGCGTGTGTAGGGCAGGGGGAGGGTTGGAGTCTTGAGAAGAGGGCTTGTGGGGGGGACTCTCAGGGTTCACCTCCCCCCATTCACGCAGGATGAGGAGGAAGAGATCAAACAGGAGATCAACATGTTGAAAAAATACTCTCACCACCGCAACATTGCCACCTACTACGGGGCCTTCATCAAAAAGAGCCCCCCAGGGAACGACGACCAGCTCTGGGTGAGGAGCGCCCCTGGCCTGCCCCAGTTAGGGCATCTGTTCTCCTGCCTCTGATCACAGCTCCTGAGAAAGCAGCACATCAAATATGTGTGGGTGGTGGCGAGACTTGGGCCCCTCCCAGCAGCGCACAAGCCTCACAGGACGATTACTCTCCAATTACTCGGCCATAGCTCACTTAGCTCTTTGGGGCCTCCCCCCAAATTCCCTCCAGGCTTGGAACATTCCTAAGAGTCATCGCCTTTCCCGGCCTGGGCACTGTTGCCTGCTAATTCCCCGGCCTCACCCTTTTTGGGGCTCAGCCCAGCAGGAGGAAAGGGCAGCAGGGAACACAGCCATGGCTGGGGGACTGGCGCTCAGACGAGGTCCCCCTCCCAGCGGTTGCTGGACAAGTACTTATCGAGCGCCCTCTGTGTACCCTGCACAGATAGTCATGAATTGTGGTCCCTGCCTCCAAGGCACTTAGTCTTTTTTGGGTGGGGAGAGACACATGTAGATAAAGGTAACCAGCTGTGTGTAGTGGGAGATTATTAAGGGCTAGAAGCTGAGTGCTAGTGACCCGGCGCCCCCTTGTGGACCCCATCCTCCCATCCAGCTGTGGGAGGGACGCCCCAGATGTGCAAATTATCTCTTTGGCCAATGCAAATATAGGTACCTCAGGCCGTCTTTTTTTTTTTTGCATTGGATGCAAGTTGTAGGAAACATACAGTGAAAATATTTGGACGGGAGTACTGATCCCCAAAGATTTGTTTGGCCTCTGCTCTGGGTCCCTAGAGGTGCCGGCCAGCCAGAGTTATCTCCCAGCTTCGGCCTGACCTGTTTACAGACTTTGTGCTGAAGCCTCAGGTTCCCTTCTGCAGCTGTCTGGTAGCCCCCAGGCTCTGTCTTGTCTCTCTAGCAGACCTGGGGACTTGCTGACTCTGAGCCCCTTTCTTGTCTCTCTGTTAGGGGTTGACCAACTTTTCCTTTAAAGGGCCAGACAGTAAATATTTGGGGCTCTGTGGGTCATAAGCTTCTAACAGCTACTCAGCTCAGCCATAGACAATGCAGAGATGAAAACAGGAATGTCCCTGGACTCCAAAGAACTGTATTTAAGACGCTAAGATGTGAATTTCATGTGATTCTTCCTTTGATTTTTATTCCAGCCATTTAAAAATGTAAAAACCATGCTCAGCCTCTTGGCCATAGATTGCCAGACCCCTGCTCTGGAGCAGTGGTTCGTCACTGTTTGAGTTTTATGGGTCCCAGTGAGGATCTGATGGAAGCTTTGGCCCCTTCCCCAGGGAAAATACACAAACCCACGTCATACTGCCTGCAAGTTTAGGGATTCTCTGGGCTCCTCCTCTGGACCCAGACCATCACCTCCCTGAGCCCACCTGCCGTGTGTCTCCCAGATGTGTCCCCTTCCCCTTTCTCTCCTAATCTCACCAAGTTCTGTGGCTTTTACTAGGGGTCTCATGGCCCCTGCTCTCCAGCTCATACCAGTTCTGACCCAAGGATTCCAGTCCTCCCCCAGGGGCCCGGCAGGGGAAGGAGGCCTTGCCTGACAGATACTTTTCCCTCCGGTGCCTCCCTGGGACCATAGCTGGTGATGGAGTTCTGTGGTGCTGGTTCTGTAACGGACTTGGTGAAGAACACGAAAGGGAATGCCCTGAAGGAGGACTGTATAGCCTACATCTGCAGGGAGATCCTCCGGGTGAGCCAGGCCCCTCCCTTCCTCCTGTTCCCATCTCCCTGGAGGTGGGGCTTCCCTGCACTCACCGGGAAGGAGCTGGAACTGTGTCCCCCAGGAGCAGATGGCCTGATGCGGGTGCTGGTGGAGAACCCTCAGAAGGACCCAGCACTTCTGTTTCCGAGCTCTGCCCTTTCTCCTTGGGACCCTGCAGCTGGGTCCTCCAGAGCCTCCAGTCTGAGGACACTGCCCCCAAAGCTGAGCCTTTACTTGGGCTCCTGGCTCCCAGCTGGAGAGGGACGGTTCCCCCAGCCCAGCCCAGCCCAGCCCGGTGCCTCCCCCACCCCTCGACTCACATCCTTGTCCTCTAACACCAAGACTACTTCCTCCCACCCCTCCTGCCCCAGGGTCTGGCCCACCTCCACGCCCACAAGGTGATCCACCGAGACATCAAGGGGCAGAACGTGCTGCTGACAGAGAATGCCGAGGTCAAGCTAGGTACGCCGAGGCCTTCTGACCTCTAGCACGGAGTTGGGGACCCGTTTGTTCATTCCCTCTAGTGTCTCAAGCCCACCTGTCTACGGGCAGGGGGATTTGCGTGCCGCCTTCTGCTGAATGCCGCTGGAGAAGCTTTTTGTGTGCTCCCTGGTGTGTGCAGGTGCTGGGCCGGCCCCTCTGGGGAGATGGGCTTGTTTGGCCCCTTCTGCCTGGATTGCTATCCCTTGGTCCTGTCACCCTGGTTTCTCCCCCAGACACAGGAAGACTAGGTCAGGGCCTTTGGGATGGATGTTGATGGGGTGAAGAGGTGGCCAGGTGGGGCTCGCACAGGACAGCCCCGAGCGGGGCACAGGTGCAGCGTTCCATCATGGCCTCTAACTCTGCCCTCCTAGTGGATTTTGGGGTGAGCGCACAGCTGGACCGCACGGTGGGCAGGCGGAACACATTCATTGGGACCCCCTACTGGATGGCCCCCGAGGTCATCGCCTGTGATGAGAATCCTGATGCCACCTACGATTACAGGGTATGGGCGGGGAGGCAGCCAAGGGTAGGAAGTGAGATGGGGTCAATGGGCAGGTTGAAAATATTGGGAGCTTGAGCAGGTCGGGGAACGAAATGAAGGCCCAGGGTTGTGGTAGCAGTGAGGCTGGGGAAGGGATTGTGGCCAGGAAAGTATGGATGGGGAGGGTGGGGGAGCTGGAGGACAGTGAGGATTGGAGCAGAGGGGCCTCAGGAAGGGTATGGACCAGGAAGCAACCTGGAGAAGAGAGGCTGGGGATAGTGGGAGAGGGGAGTGATGGTCAGCAGCATTCACCTGTCCCTCTTCTCATGCCTCCACAGAGTGACATTTGGTCTCTAGGAATCACAGCCATCGAGATGGCAGAGGGAGCCCCCCGTAAGTGCAGGCTCTGGGAGCGAAGGGAGGGCCCAGAAGGAGCTGTAGGGAGGAGGTGGGGTCACAGGTGGCCAGTGAGACCAGCTGATGGTGCCTCTTCTGTGTTCCAGCTCTATGTGATATGCACCCCATGCGAGCCCTCTTCCTCATCCCCCGGAACCCGCCGCCCAGGCTCAAGTCCAAGAAATGGTAGGTCTCGGGGGACTGGTGTTTAGCAAGGAGGCCTCCACCTTACCCCCTACCCCCAGGCCTGGGTCTGCACTGCAGAAGAGGGCGCGGGTTAGGGAGGGCACCTGGTGTGGGGGACACGGGGAGATAGGAGGAAGGTCGGTGACTTTTGGATGAATGAGTTCCCCCTTCTTCCTGGAACCACCCCCTTTCCGACATGAGCCACCATCATCTCCAGGTCTAAGAAGTTCATTGACTTCATTGACACGTGTCTCATCAAGGCTTACCTGAGCCGCCCACCCACCGAGCAGCTGCTCAAGTTCCCGTTCATCCGCGACCAGCCCACCGAGCGGCAGGTCCGCATCCAGCTCAAGGACCACATCGACAGATCCCGGAAGAAGCGAGGCGAGAAAGGTCAGTGGGTGGGGAGGGAGGTGGCAGGTCTGGAACATACATCCACCACCCCTACTCCTCTTCGCCAGCCCTGGCTTCCCCTCAGGCCCCCTTCCAGGCCCAGCTCTCCCTGTCCTGTCCAAGGAGATCTCCTTTCCCAAACTTCCAATCCCAGAGGGCTTTTTCCACTTTATGTGGGGAGGTCTAGAACTGCTCATGTGCATATGTGAATGCGAGGACACCTCCCACCCACATCCTACCCACTGCGGGGTCCTATCCCCATCTCTGTCAAGGCCCAAACCTGGGACCTGCCGTCGCCCCCATTGCTCCAAGGAGGTGTGCCATCCAGACAGACCTTACTGGTTATCCCTATCTAAGGTATCCCTAGCCCAGGGTGGGGTCTGGGGCACTGGGTGAAGAAACAACAGTGATCTCCCCCCTCCAGAGGAGACGGAGTATGAGTACAGCGGCAGCGAAGAGGAGGACGACAGCCACGGAGAGGAAGGAGAACCAAGGTGGGCCTGGTAGGCGGAGGGGGGGACCATCACCGTCCGAGGGACAACAGTGGCCCTTGGCTCTGGGACTCAGCCTGGGGGTGGTGAGCACAGACAGGTGGAACCATGGGACAAAGGCCCTGTGTGCTGAGACGGAACTGAACGAATGCAGGAGCTGGAGGGAACTTAGGGCTGCAGGCTGGGGTGTTGAAGGAGTGCGGGCCCAAGGCGGGGCAGAGGGAGGACAGGTCTCCGGTCATCCAGGAGCGGGAGCGACCCGAGGCGACCCCATCTGGGTTGCTGAAGCACCTGTTCAGGGCTCCCAGCGGGGGAGGGTGGCTTCTGACCCGGATACTCCCGTGTACCATCTTGCCCAGCTCCATTATGAACGTGCCAGGGGAGTCGACCCTCCGCCGGGAATTCCTCCGGCTCCAGCAGGAGAACAAGAGCAACTCGGAGGCTTTAAAGCAGCAGCAGCAGCAGCTGCAACAGCAGCAACAGCGAGACCCAGAGGCACACATCAAGCACCTCCTGCACCAGCGCCAGCGGCGCATCGAGGAGCAGAAGGAGGAGCGGCGGCGGGTTGAGGAGGTGTGGGGGCGGGGCAGGTCGAGGGGCGGGCCCTTCTCGAAGGGCCTGACCTGACCGGGTCCTGGTCCCACCGCTTGACTGCGTAGGGCAACATGAAGAAGAGGGAGCGAGGGGGGCCTCCCAGCCCCCTGCCTTCAGACTTGCAGGGAAGGGCTCTGTCCTCTCTGAGGGGCCCCTAAGGCACCCGCCAGCCTAGTGTGGGTGGTGGTACCCTCAGCGTCCCTTCAGAGCAGAGTTTTCTAAAAAAGCCACTCTGTCTCCCTTTCCTCGTGTCTTCATGTAAACCTCAGCTCTGGGGTTTGCCTGCTCTGTTTCCCTTCAGACCCCGGGAGGCTGAGGGTCTCTGCTCAAACTCCGCCCTGTCCTGGTCACCTGTCCCTCCAGCAGGTGCCCCATCTGTAGGTGAATAAGATCCCTCGAAAGGCCCTCCTTTTAGTTATGGTTGTTGGGGCTTAGATTTGCTTCCTACAAGCTTGTCCAGCGCACTAATTGGAGGTGGATGGGAGAAATTAATTTTAATTAATAGAGAATCTTATTTTTAAGTAGCTGCAGTTGTTTAAATCCCAATTTAAAAAGTACTTTGTATGTGTGTATAAAGATTTATTCTGCAGGGGGCACGGTGGGGAAGAAGAGACGTTATAGATTGGTTAAAATTTTGCCTTAAATGATGGGATTTTTGTTGAAACAATTACATGATCCAAAGTTCATGGAGGGCTGAGCTTAATTTAAAAGTTATCTAAGCAGTAGGCTTCCCTGATAGCTCAGTTGGTAAAGAATCCACCTGCAATGCAGGAGACCCTGGTTCAATTCCTGGGTCGGGAAGATCCGCTGTGGAAGGGATAGGCTGCCCACTCCAGTATTCTGGCCTGGAGAATTCCACAGACTGTGTAGTCCGTGAGGTCACAGAGAGTTGAACAGGACTGCGTGACTTTCACTTTCAAGCAGCAGGAGAGAGGCAGAAGCGTCCACACTGCCTGCATACTGCTCCCCAAAGTGGGCCCCTATCTTCATTGAATGAAAAATAATTTTCAAGAAAGGCTAGAGAGCCTAGTACAAATTATTCTTAATAAATACAGCTTTCAGGTAACAGAGTAACCAAAATCTGTGTCTACCAAAGTGTTTCCTGGAAAAGGCCTGATGTATCTTTAGGGCTTGTGCTCTTTCTTTCTTGCCTTCCTTTATTTATTTATTTTTTGGCAGAAAGATTGTGAAAGTTATTAAGTGAATGTGACCTGGGCTACTGATGTTGCCCAGGGTCCCTCCCTAAGTCACTTTTCTGTGCATGAGCACCTGGTGCCCTCTTGTGGCTGAAGGCTACCACTGCAGCCCACTCCCTTTTGCCAGTAGGGTCCAGGTTCATTTGAGAGGCCAGTAGCTGGGACATGGGGGACACTGTTGTGGACTCTGGGTTTTGTTTGGTGATGGAATGGATAGGGGACGGTTTTATCCAGTTAGGCCCGCTCCTCTTGGCAGCTCCCGTCCCAAGCCCACAGCCATTTAGACATCAGCTCCTCCCGAACCAGGCCCCTCTGGGCTCTCATGTGAGCGTAGGTAGGTTTGTAGAAGTAAGTTGAAGCTACCCACTCTCACCGCCTTCCCCAGTGAGATGTAGCCTAGCCCAGGAGGGACAGAAGCGGGCTGAGGTGGGTCCCTGCTTCCGCGTGCAGTGCCGCCCTGTGTCTGGTGCGGTCCTTCAGGCTGCCTGTCCCCTCACCCGCAGCAACAGCGGCGGGAGCGGGAGCAGCGGAAGCTGCAGGAGAAGGAGCAGCAGCGGCGGCTGGAGGACATGCAGGCCCTGCGGCGGGAGGAGGAGCGGCGGCAGGCCGAGCGCGAGCAGGTACAGCGCCCCCAGTGCACACCGGACTCACCCCTTCCCGCCCTGGCCTCCCCTCCTGCTCCTGCTGCCTGCCTGCCCTGCTCCCCAGGCCCCTTCCCCTTCTCTCCCTCCCCCAAAATTCCTCCTATCTTTTCCAGCTTCACTCTTTCTCTCTGTTTTCTCCCACCCTTCAACCCCCGACCCTGGCTCCCTGCCCTCCTCCTGTCTCTGTGCCTTCATTCCCCATCTCTTTGCCCCTGTCCCTGACTCCTGTCACCTGCACCTTCCCTCATGGGGCCTCCGCCCCGGTGTCCTCCTCATCCCCTGCCTCCGTGGGGCTCATCCCACCCTGGCCTCTCTTTTACTCTCTCCCACCCCCCACCCCGGCCTCCTCCTCATCCTCACCCCACTGACCCCATCCTCCAACTCCTTCGCCGCCGCTGACTGCCCCCCACCCCGCCCCCCAGGAGTATATCCGTCACAGGCTAGAGGAGGAGCAGCGACAGCTCGAGATCCTTCAGCAACAGCTGCTCCAGGAACAGGCCCTGCTGCTGGTAACGGGGTCCCCAGCTTCCCCTGGGAAGACGTGCATTCAGATCATCTCCGCTGCAGTGGGACGGGAGCATTTCAGGGGAAGGGGTCACCTGGGCGTCAAGGGAAGAGACCTCTCCTCTCTAGGCAGTTGGAGGAGAGCAAGGGCGTGCCTGCTCTGGCTTCCAGGGCTCACCCTGCTGAGCCCCCTCTCCCTACCCTTGGGCCCAGGAATACAAGCGGAAGCAGCTGGAGGAGCAACGGCAGTCTGAGCGCCTGCAGAGGCAGCTGCAGCAGGAGCACGCCTACCTCAAGTCCCTGCAGCAGCAGCAGCAGCAGCAGCTTCAGAAGCAGCAGCAGATCCTGCCTGGGGACCGGAAGCCCCTGTATCACTACGGTCGGGGCATCAACCCTGCCGACAAGCCAGCCTGGGCCCGAGAGGTACTCAGCGCCTCCTGTGCTGCCTGAGACTCATTGCGCGTGGGAGGCCCCAGGGAGGGGAAAGGGCAGGCAGTGCGGCCGGGCGGTACTGAAGAGGTTGGGATGTGACTTGGAGAACAGGACAAAAGCCGTCCTGCTTGGCGTCCTGTCACATCACAGGTGGAAGAAAGAACGAGGATGAACAAACAGCAGAACTCCCCCTTGGCCAAGAGCAAGCCAGGCAGCACAGGGCCTGAGCCCCCCGTCCCCCAGGCCTCCCCCGGGCCCCCAGGACCCCTTTCCCAAACTCCTCCTATGCAGAGGCCGGTGGAGCCCCAGGAGGGACCACACAAGGTGAGTCTCTCCCTGTTCCTGTCTTCACACACAGACATGGGGGGGCCTCGCGTGTACACACACATGCACATGCCTAGAGCCAGGGGTCACAGACCTCAGGACATGCGGGCAGAGACAGGCGCGCGTTTGTCTCTGTCTTACCTGTTCTCCGGCTCCAGGAGCCCCTTTCGATGGATAGTTGGAACTCAGAGGCTTTACCTGCCCCTTCCTCCCCACCCAGGCCCCAGCTCCCATGTGGGGGTGTGCCACAGAGCAGGCGGCCCACCCTCCCTGGTCTCTCCCCGCAGAGCCTGGTGGCACACCGGGTCCCACTGAAGCCATATGCAGCGCCTGTACCCCGCTCCCAGTCCCTGCAGGACCAACCCACCCGAAACCTGGCTGCCTTCCCCGCCTCCCATGACCCCGACCCCGCCGTGCCCGCACCCACCGCCACGCCGAGTGCCCGAGGAGCCGTCATCCGGCAGAACTCAGACCCCACTTCCGAAGGGCCTGGCCCCAGCCCGAACCCCCCAGCCTGGGTCCGGCCTGATAATGAGGCCCCTCCAAAGGTAAGGGCAGACTCACAGAGCTGGAAGAGGGCAGAGGAATGGGGGGGATAGAGCGGGGCTGGTCAGCAGGCGAGGTGGATGCAAGCTTGGGGGTCTGAAGGGAATAGAAGGGTGAGGAGTCCAGCCTGGCCCATCCCGCAGGGGTCACCCTGATGTCTGGTGGGCGGGCCGGCATGCAAGTGTGTCCGGGTGTTTCCATGGTGCGTGTGGGAGCAGAAGAGGCCCCCGGGGCTTCAGGGAGCACCAGGGGCAGACTTGCTGCTCAGATCCCAGCTCTGCCGTCTCCCCGCCTTGTGAACCTTGGACAGAGGCCATCAGCTTCCCCAACTTAAGTCTGCTTCTCCATCAAGGCGGGGGGTGCCTCTTCCAGGGTCTCGAAGAGGGGCCTGGTGTCCGCCGTGCCGTCACGGAGCCCTGACCCCTTCCTTCCCTCCTCAGGTGCCTCAGAGGACCTCATCAATCGCCACTGCCCTTAACACCAGTGGGGCCGGAGGGTCCCGGCCAGCGCAGGCGGTCCGTGCTAGGTAATGCCTAGCTGGGGGCGGGCGGCCTAGGGATCGGGGCGGGCGGCAGAGGGCACTGTGCCAGGTTGCCCGCTTAGGGGTGGGCGAGCCCCGCTCCAGTCACCTCAGCCCCCGCCCCGCCCCGCCCCCGGGCACCCTGTGCTCCCTCCACAGACCTCGCAGCAACTCCGCCTGGCAAATCTATCTGCAAAGGCGGGCAGAGCGGGGCAGCCCCAAGCCTCCAGGGCCCCCTGCTCCGCCCCCCGGCCCGCCCAACGCCTGTAGGTAATGGAGCTGTCCCCCCTGCTCCCTCCCACCCTCACTTCTGCCACCTGTCCCCCCTTGTGATGGCTCCCTCTGCGGTGCAGCTCAGCCTCCTGGGGCACGGACACCCCGTCACCCTGACCCTGCCTCCGCCCCTCCCACAGTAACCCCGACCTCAGGAGGAGCGACCCCGGCTGGGAGCGCTCAGACAGCGTCCTCCCGGCCTCTCACGGGCACCTCCCACAAGCTGGCTCGCTGGAGCGGAACCGGGTGGGAGGTACGTGAGCCCAGCCCCGGGGGCAGTCTCCCCAGGGTGGACCCCGCCTTTGGCAGCTCTGGACTGGGCAGCATGGGCACCAGACTGGGCTTGAGGCCAGCCCCTGGGTGGGCGTCGGTGACCTCCTTTCCCCCACCTGCCACGTCTAGCCTCCTCCAAACTGGACAACTCCCCTGTGCTCTCCCCTGGGAACAAAGCCAAGCCCGATGACCACCGCTCGCGGCCAGGCCGACCCGCAGTAAGTCATCAGGTGGCCCCCTCCTGTCTTCTCATGGTTTGGGACCTGGGGGCCACTGTGGAGCCTCTGGAGCCCCAGAGAGCAGGGCGCCAGGGGCAGGGCCATCATTAGTCTGAGGCTGGAGCATCTGTGGGCTAACAGGGTGGCCCTTCCCAGTTACTAACCTTTCTTAACCTCTTTCCTGCCTCCTCCTGGCTGCCCTTCTTCCCCCGCGGCCCTTCCCAGAGCTATAAGCGAGCCATTGGCGAGGTTAGTGAGCAGGGCCGCGGGCAGCCCCTCCTGTTCCCTGCCTTCCTCCGGCCTCCGCGGCACCCCCGCCTCCCTGCCTCACACAGCTCCTTCCCCGCAGGATTTCGTGTTGCTGAAAGAGCGAACCCTGGATGAGGCGCCCCGGCCTCCCAAGAAGGCCATGGACTACTCGTCGTCCAGCGAGGAGGTGGAGAGCAGCGAGGACGATGAGGAGGAGAGCAACGGCGAGCCGTCAGAGGGGAGCAGAGACACCCCTGGGGCCCGGTATGGGGGCGTCCCGGGACAGGGACACGTCCTGCCAGAGGTGCCTGAGAAACAGGTGCTGGGGGAGGGGTTGTCGGGTCAAGTTTGAGGGAAAGCAGTTCCCTTTTCCCGCCGAGTGAGGCCTTAGCCGTCGTTGCAGGCCTGTTCTTCCTGCCCTTCCCTAGAGAACGGGATACAGGCCTGGGGGCTGGTGTCCCCTGCTGTCCTTCACTGTCCTGAGATGAGCGCCCCTTCAGGACAGCCAGCGCTCCCCCAGTGCGGGGCAGGGGGCAGGGGCTGCTGGGTGCCAGCAGACACTGCAGGTGCCTGTGCCCCGGCTCTCATCTGCTCCCTGTGGCACTCAGGTGGCAGGCAGGGCCCAGAGGGCCTCCTGACCTTCCTCTCTCCATAGCAGCGACGGAGACACAGACAGCGTCAGCACCATGGTGGTCCACGACGTGGAGGAGATAGCCGGGCCCCAGACCCCCTACGGGGGTGGCACCATGGTGGTCCAGCGAGTGAGTGCCCCTCCTCCCCCATTCTGCCCCAGCCTGCCCTGCCCCTCCTCGACCCCAGCACTGGCTCCCTTCCCTTTGTTCGTTCAGACCCCCGAGGAGGAACGCAGCCTGCTGCACGCCGACAGCAACGGCTACACAAACCTGCCAGACGTGGTCCAGCCCAGCCACTCACCCACCGAGAGCAGCAAAGGTCAAAGCCCCCCCTTGAAGGATGGAGGCAGTGATGTAAGTGGGTGGAGGTGGCTCCACGGGGCGAGAAGAGGTCACTGGCCGTGGGCAGGAAGCCCTGGGGAGCCGGTTGGCCAGGGTGCAAGAGGAGGGGTGGGCCCAGGCTGGGGTCTGGCATGTTTGCCTCACTGCCACCCCCACCCCACAGTACCAGTCTCGTGGGCTGGTAAAAGCCCCTGGCAAGAGCTCGTTCACGATGTTTGTGGACCTGGGGATCTACCAGCCCGGAGGCAGTGGGGACACCATTCCCATTACAGGTGAGACGGGAGGCCCGGGGAGGGGTTGGGTGGCCTCTGATGACAGGCTTCACTGAGTGGTCACAGCCTCCCCTGTGGCCCGCACCTGCCCTGGCACGAAGGCAGTAGGGCTTCTGGGGCCCCCTTGACCCAAGGGGGGCAGGATGCTCAGTGGTGACCCAGGGACCCGCATGAGGGAGCAAGGGCTTTGCCAGGCCTTCTGGCCCTGTTTAAAGTCCTCCAGGCACCTGGTCCGTTCTCTAGTCTTTCCCTTTGGTCCGGAGTATCCTGGGGTGTGGGCTACAGGGAGGCAGTGACAGGACTCAGCCCACTCCCCTCTCCTCTCCTCTCCCCGCAGCCCTGGTGGGTGGAGAGGGCAGTCGGCTCGATCAGCTACAGTACGACGTGAGGAAAGGCTCTGTGGTCAACGTGAACCCCACCAACACCCGGGCCCACAGCGAAACCCCTGAGATTCGGAAGTACAAGAAGCGGTTCAATTCCGAGATCCTCTGTGCGGCCCTTTGGGGTAAGCCAGGGTGGGGAAGGAGAAGAAGGGCCTGGTGTGCCCGCGTGCTCCCGGTCAGGCGAGGGCCTGGCTCTGCCTCTCATCTGCCCAAGGGCTCCTCTTGCAGGGGTCAACCTGCTGGTGGGCACGGAAAACGGGCTGATGCTGCTGGACCGCAGCGGGCAGGGCAAGGTGTACGGACTCATTGGGCGGCGGCGCTTCCAGCAGATGGACGTACTGGAGGGACTCAACTTGCTCATCACCATCTCAGGTTGGGGGGAGGCAGTGGCCAGGAGGCGGGCTCAGTGCCTGGGGGGAGGGCTTCCCCAGTACAGGAACTGGAAGGTGGGGGCCCCACTTTCTCACCCCTCGAGTCCACATAGGATGGTGGGGAGGTGGAAGCTGGACCTCCAGCGAGGGTTCTATGTCCCTCAGGGAAAAGGAACAAACTGCGGGTGTATTATCTGTCCTGGCTCCGGAACAAGATTCTGCACAATGACCCGGAAGTGGAGAAGAAGCAAGGCTGGACCACTGTGGGGGACATGGAGGGCTGCGGACACTACCGCGTGGGTGAGGAGGTCACGACACAGCGGCCAGGGCACATTTGTTTATGAGAAGAGAGAAAGAGATGGGGTCCTGGGCTGAGAAAGCCTTGAAGGCCAGAGATGGTGGGGGGGTCCTGCAGTTGGGTGTGTAGACAGACCCAGGGGAGGGGCTGCAGCCCAAGCAGGGAAGCCCCTGCATCCCCCCTTTTCCTGCCCCTAGTGAAATACGAGCGCATCAAGTTCCTGGTCATCGCCCTGAAGAACTCTGTGGAGGTGTATGCCTGGGCCCCCAAACCTTACCACAAATTCATGGCTTTCAAGGTAACCCAAGCCTCAACCTCCACCGCTGTTCCAAGGTCGGCTCCTCTGCCCAAATCCCCTGAGCCCTTTCTCCCCGCACAGTCCTTTGCTGACCTCCCGCACCGCCCTCTGCTGGTGGACCTGACGGTAGAGGAGGGCCAGCGGCTCAAAGTCATCTATGGCTCCAGCGCCGGCTTCCACGCTGTGGATGTGGACTCGGGGAACAGCTACGACATCTACATCCCTGTGCACGTAAGCTTGGCAGGGCTGTGGGCGGAGTGGGGCCCCAGGCCTGGGCCCACCTCCGGGCCTCCCACCCACTTTCTCCTCCCAGATCCAGAGCCAGATCACGCCCCACGCCATCATCTTCCTTCCCAACACGGACGGCATGGAGATGCTGCTGTGCTATGAGGATGAGGGCGTCTATGTCAACACGTACGGCCGGATCATCAAGGACGTGGTGCTGCAGTGGGGAGAGATGCCCACATCTGTGGGTGAGTGAGGGGCCCGCCCTCCTGGCCTGTGTCCCCGAGCCAGCCAGCTGCAGCCCACTTACCACCCCTCTCCGCTTCCCCCCCAGCCTACATCTGCTCCAACCAGATCATGGGCTGGGGAGAGAAAGCCATTGAGATCCGCTCTGTGGAGACAGGCCACCTGGATGGGGTCTTCATGCACAAACGAGCCCAGAGGCTCAAGTTCCTATGTGAGCGGAACGACAAGGTGGGAGTGATAAGCCGCCCGGGCCCCATCCCCACCCCTACCCCTACCCCCACCCCCACCTGGGCCCCTGGGCAGAGCTGGGGGAGGGGTGGTTATAGGTCTTCCTGAGAGGCAGCCTGCCCTTCCCCCACCTTCAGTCTTTAAGAAGTCTGGGCTCCTTTGTGCCATATGTTCCTGCCTTTTGGAGGGGAATGGGGGCACTCTGCGGAACTAAATCCTGCAGTTTCTCCCTCCTTCCAGTTAACTGAGGCAGCCCCACCTTAGCTGCCCTACTCACCTTGGTGACTTCTTCTCCTCCCCACCCAGGTGTTTTTCGCCTCGGTCCGCTCCGGGGGCAGCAGCCAAGTTTACTTCATGACCTTGAACCGTAACTGCATCATGAACTGGTGACGGGGCCCTGGGCCGGGCTGGCCTCTGTGGACCAGCTCACCCCCCCACAGCCAGACTCCCCGGGCCGCCCTTCTCTTCCCTCCCTGGGCTTTTGCTTTTACTGGTTTGATTCACTGGAGCCTGCTGGGAACGTGACCTCTGACCCCTGATGCTTTTGTGATCACGTGACCATCCTCTTCCCCAACATGTTCTCTCCCCAAAACTGTGCCTGTCCCAACTTCCAGGGAGAGGCACAGCTTCCCCTACCAGGAACTGAGTGGGCCTAGCCCCACCCCCCTTTCTCCACTTACAAGGAGAGTGCTTGGGGCTTGGACCCCATACCCCACTGCTGCTGACTTGGCAGGGCCCTGGGCCCCATCATTTGCACGTCAGGGGAGCCGGCTCCCCCCTTGAATGTACCAGACCCTGGGGGGGGTCACTGGGCCCTAGGTTTTAGGGGGGTCACCAGCCACTCCAGGGGCAGGGACCATTTCCTCATTTTCTGAAAGCACTTTAATGATTCCCCTCCCCCCAAACCCCAGGGAATGGAGGGGGGACCCCGCCAGCCAAAACATTTACCCCTTTCCAACCCCCATCTCTTCTAGCCTCTGCCCTTCCCTGGTGGAGGGGGGAGCAGGGAGCTCTCACCCTCTCCCCCCCTTGCTTGCATCTGTATATAGTGTGAGCAGCAAGTAGCCCGCCCCCTCCCTGCCCCCACCCCTCCTCAATGTAGTGGCCTTGGAGATCTCGTTTGTTAATAAAGACAATTCAACCAGCTCCCACCACTTCAGGCCCTAGGTTACTCTGTTTTCTCTCATCATCCCAGGTTCTAGCCAGGGCCCATCAGCATGGCTGGGATGAAAAGGGTGGGAATCTGCAATCCCTGAGCCTTAGTGGAGAGGGGATGGATGGGCAGTGCTGGGCTAAGAGAACCTACAAGAAACAACTGAAGGACGGCCCAGGCATCCTCCGCCTTAAACCTGTGGACCTTGAGCTGGGACCGTTCGGTCCCTACCCACTCCAGCCTGGCCAGGCCACAGAGGTGCCTGACTTCAGCCTCTCAGTGTGCAAGTCTTACAAACGGGTCTCTCCTGTTTAGTCTCTGAGAGGCTCACAGGGCTAGAGGATCACATGGGCCTGGGGCCCAAGAAAAACTGGGAGGTCAGGAAGACTGAAGTGAGAGTGGTTCTTGCTTTCCGGAGGGCTGACATGCAGGAGTCTGCCTGCACCATCTGCAGCTCTTTCTGATGCCAGCCAGGTGGCTCGACCCACACATGTGCACACACATGACTTCTTGTGAAGTTGAATACAGATTTATCATTGGCAGTGGGAAAGGATAGTAATACAGCAGTGGTAGCAAGGTGTTTTTCAAATATCCTCCTGGAGATGGGTGGAAATTCTTGTCGGTGTGGCTGTGGCCTCAGGTCTACATACACGGCGGGTAAGGCAGCTGGGGCACTCGGTTGAAGTAGGCCCCGAGGAAGATGAGGCTGGAGCCCATGAGGAAGAGGACCAGAGCGGCCCAGAAGCAGATGTTGTCAAGGGCCTTCCCCATGCGCACCCAGTCGGACACCTCCTGGGGAAGGGGTGGGCACAGGTTGAGTCCCTAAAAGCTGCAGGAGCCAGCTGTGCAGGAGTCAGAGACGGTGGAGGCCCCCCAGCGCCCCACCCCACCTGGGTGCTCCCGCCCCACCTCGCCAGAGGCCTCCTGGTCCCGTGTGCTCGAAGCCACGAAGTTCACAGCATCCACACAGCAGCGGATCTCGGGGGCGGCAGCGCCCAGGTTCTGGCACAGGGTAGCTGGTGGGGGCGACCCAGGGTGGGTGATCTAGAGCCTCGCCCTTGAAGGCGCCCCCCCTTGGCCCACCCGGCCCAGTCCGCTCACCGGTCCAGGTTCTGTGCCGGTGCCTCTGCTGCTCAAACACGAGTTCGCTCCGCGGCTTTTTCAGTATCAGCTCCTCCGCGCGGAGCAGTAGGCCCAGGGATGACGCCCGCCTTGGGGGCGAGGCAGCCCGGGGGATCTCGGGGGCCGCGCCGGAGCCCAGGAGTTGTGGCAGCAGCTCCAGCAACACCTGGGGCGGGGTGGGTGGGGCGGGGCGGGGCGAGGTTAGCTTGAAGCCCCACCTCCTGCCCGGAGCCCACCCACCGGTGCTTACGTGGCGCAGCCGCGGGGACATGGCGTGAGTGGTGGGCGTCCGCAATGACACGTTGAGCACGATGACGCAATTCATGACAATGAGTGTGGCAACCACCATGACGAAAATGAGGTACCTGAGGAGCCCAGAGTTCGTGATGTCACAGCCTCCCCTGAGCCACAGAGCTGCCACTGGTCCTCTGACCTCACAAACGCACCTCTCCGCACGCGTGGAGCTACTCCTCCTGGCGGGGCCAGACGCCCCCCCGGCCCGGTCTTTCTCTCCGCCCTCGCACGGCCAGCGGCAACCATGAAGGGGACCCCCAGTTCCCTGGAAACCCTGCTGTGGGTCTACCACTTCCACAGCTCCACGGAGGTGCGCCTACGCGGATACCCGTAAGGGCTGCACCTCGAGACGCTCTGGGAAGGTTTCCAGCGTCCCCTCGGAGACCTCTGCCCTATGTCCCGATGACACCACTGCCCCTGTGCCTTTCCAGGTGGCCCTCCAGCCCCCGCTTCTGTCTTCCCTGGAGCTCGCTGCGGCCGCAGCCCATGAGTATCTGGAGCAGAGGTTCAGAGAACTGAAGTCCCTGGAGCCTCGAGAGCAGGAGAACACGCCTGCCGGGAAGCCCACCCTGGGGCTAGTGCTAAGAGAAGCCGCGGCCAGCGTAGTGAACTTCGGGGCCACTTTGTTAGAGGTGGGGCGCCGGGGCGGGGGACAGAGGAGGGGGTGGGGGGAGTGGATTGAGGAGCAGAGACCTCTGCATCCCCACTAACTTCTGTATCCCCACTACAGATCTCAACCCTGTGGGTGCAGCAGGAGCTACGGCGACTAGACGGCGGCCCGGGTCCGGGGCCAGACGCTGGGGATCCGGGCGGAGCCCTGGCCCGGGTAGCCCAGGCCACGGGGCAGGGGGCTCTGCAAGTGGGGGCTGCAGCAGGCGCGAGCGCCCGGCTCCTGCTCCGAGGGGCCTGGCTATGCCTGTGTGGACGAGGTCTGCAGGGGTCCGCCTCATTCCTGCAACAGTGGCAACGCCAGCTGGACCTCGGAACCCCTGGGGAACCGGTGAGTTCAAGATGAGGGGAGAGTTGGGGGCCAGAGGCGTCCCGGCTGGGTGGTACTGAGCCGGCCCACCCCCAGCAGAGATACTCCGGAGACCTCAAGTTGGCGTCCAGCAGCACTGCAGAGGACGGGGGACCGAAGAACCCACCACGATCCCAGCCCCGCCCCACGTCCAAATAAAGCCCAGGTGGGGACCATACAGTTAAGGCTACTCGGAGTCCTTAGGTATTGGCCCTGCCCTCTCCATCGAGACCCCTGGCCCCGCCCCGTGCTCGTCTGGCCCCGCCCTTCACGCTAGCCACGCCCCGCGTAGGCACCGCCGGGATCCTCTCCACCCCTCACCTGCCCAACAGCGGCACGCTCAGAGATGTCTCTGGGATTTTCTGGGCAATCAGGAACAAGAAGACGGTCTGGGCGAGCAGGACGTTGATGGAAACGGTGCACTTCTGGCCGCCGGCTGGAGGGAGAGCCTGATGAGGGCAGGCCCCGCCCCCCAGGAAGGGCCCGGGTTTGGGGTCCGGGCGACTCCCATACCCTGCGCGGGCAAGAAGTAGGCGAGCAGCACCAGGCCCGAGATGAGCACGCAGGGCACGATGATGTTAATAACGTAGAATAGCGGCTTCCGGCGAATAATGAGCGAGTAGATGACGTCAGTTTCCCCTGGGCCACCTGCAGAGTCACCGTCGTGGCGGCGGATCACCCCGGGGCAGAAGTCGATGGCCCACTCGCCGTTCTCTGCAGGACGGGACAGGCGCGGTCAGCCGGCTCTCGGGAAATGCGCCCTGCTCTGCTCTCCGTCCCCATATCTGACGGTAGGGGGCCTGCAACTCCAGGCGAGGAGAGAATGAAAGCCACCTGGGCAAGGGCAGGTGGGGCAGGTGGGCTGGTAATTGGGTCAGAGAAGGGCGTTCCCAGGGAGCTTACGGCACCACCACAAGGGAGGAAGGAGTGCGAGGCCGACAATCAAGAATGATTTCAGGGAAGGCTCAAGTTAAACCAGGGCTGTCAAAGTCAGTCCCAGCACCGAGGGCCCAGGGCAACCCCACTGTGCAAGTCCCCTCTCGGGACCCGTCTAGAAGCGGGCTTTTCGGAGCAGGAGGGGGACCTAACCGGTATAGGCCTCAGTGTCGATATCGATCTTGCTGATGGTCTCGCCCTCGTCGTCCACCGCAAAGACAAACTCCACCTCTTCGGCATTGTACGTTTGGGAGCTGCGGAGCCAGGATCCGGACCCCGACCTAGAGGCTGGGACCCGGGCCTCAGGCCCCGCCCTGGAAGCTGGGTTCTGGCAGGGGAATTACTCTCCACCAGATAACCCAGGCCCCGCCTCCAAGCCTGGGTTTCCACCCCTACTTCTCACCCACTAGAGCGCGCTATCGCCTTCGAATGCCTAGCCCCACCTCCAGCACAAAGCCCCGCCCCAGATTAGAGGTCTCCCCGCCCCCGCACACCTGGCCCCACCCCTTAATCCCTCAATTGTCCGGGCCTTCGAACAAGTCTTCCCACCGGAAAACAAGCGAGCAGTTCTGCCAGTCGAAAGGGAAGTAGGTGACCTCCACGGCGCAGGTGCTGCGGTAGATGGCCGGGGGCAACCAGCTCACGTAGCCGCCCTCGGAGACCAGCACATTGGCCTCGTAGGCCACCCCGAACTGGCCGTCGATACTGTGGGCTCCAGGAAACCGAGAGTTGGCCCAGATCTGCAGCTCCCTCGCCCCCCAAGCAACACCCCTGCCCCAACCAGATCCAGCCTTAACCCCCACCCCTCCTCAGACCTCGGCTTTGCTCCAGTCTGGCCCGGTCCTCACTTGTTTTCCAGCACAATCTCTGGCAACCATACGAGTTCTGAAGGGACCCGCAGGGTTTCTACGCCCCCAAAGTCGCCCTTGCTGTAGTTGAGTCGGTAATCTTGCCAGTCCTAGGGGTGGGGGAGGGGACGGAAGGACTTGTGCCCCGCTGCCTGTGAGGCGTTTGGGAGAAAAGTGTCCCCTAGACCAGATCTCTCACTGTTCCCCAGCCTCAACTCACGATTCCAATCCAGACGCTGGTGGTGAGGGTCTCCTCTTTCTCGTTCTGCGGGTGGGAGATGAAGATGATGGGGGAGAGCTTTAGGAGAGAGTTGAGCGCTTGGGGACAGAAGTGGGATTTTAGGCTCCTAGATGGTGCTCAGGTGCCGGTGCGGCTATCTTACCAGGGAGATGAGGTTGGTCAGGGTGACTTTGAGGGAGATGGTGACAGTGTCCTCGGGCTCCTGCACTGGCCGGCGTCCTGGGTCATAGTTGTCGAAGAGGTAGTGGTAAAGGCGCAGCTCCTCGTTCTTCCCCTCACCTCTGCCTGGGGATGGGGCCAAGCAGTAGGGTCAGGACATGGAGAGGCTGAGGAGCCGCTCTGCTCTGCCTCCGGGTCTACAGGTCTCCGCTTCTCTGATTGTCTCTGAGGCTGTGTATTTTCCCATGTCTGTCTCCCAAACCAGTGATACTGTGCCTGGGGACCAAATATGTCTGTCTACATCTCAGTTGGTCTTTGTCTGGTCCCTTTATGTCCGTGTCCTGTGTGTGTGTGTGTGTGTCCCACCTCTTCCCCCAACCCTGGCCCATACCAAGAAGCGGCAAGAGGAGCAGGGCGCAGAGCAGAGCCCCTGCCATTCCACTGTCTGGTCCCCAGTTATTCTGAGCGCTGGCAGGCTCGGACAGGGGCAGGCCAGGGTGTGTGAGCGAGGGGGAGGAGGGTGTTAGTTCCGCTCTCTGGCTACCCCTGCTGCAGCCAGGGACATCTTGGCTGCTTCCAGAGGCAGCTGCCCCATCCTGAGTTCCCTGCCCCCACCCCATCCCAGCCTTCTCTGCCTGGGCTTCAGCCAGCTGTCCAGCCCCAGCCCTGATCCTCTCATGACTGGAGCAGGCCCGATGCTGGTGGGCAGGTCCTTTAAGAACACCTGGAACCACAAACCTGGCAGAGGGGGTGTGGAAGGTCCTGCTTTCAACACTGCACTGGTGTCCTCTGAGTCAGCTGCCCTGCACAGGTGACACCCCTTGCCTGCTACACTCAGCACTACCCATAGCCCAGCCAAGGTCACACAAATGCAGTTTCCGCCGGCAGAGTTTGGCAAAAGCAGAGTGTCCATAAAGATCCGGTAATGAGACAGGCAGCCACAGCGGATTAGCCTGCAATAACAAACTCCACATGGCAAAAGAGATGGTGCCACAGAACAGGGCCCACTTCCTCCCAGAGCCAGTCCCAGTGTCTGCCCGCCTGCAGCTCTGTCTGGGTGGGCACCTGCAGAGATCCCCGTTTCTCATCTCTCTGTTGCCACCTTGTGGCCACATCTGAAAGTTACTGTCTGTCCCACCTCCTTCAAAACCCACCTTTCAGTCTTTCCTAAATCTCCTTGGACCACCCTAAGCAATCACTGGGGATGCTTGTTTAAAATGCAGTTTCCTAGGCTCCATCCCCAAAGAATCCCAGTTTAGTAAGATGACACAGAGGAGGGGCCAGGAATCTGCTTTAAGAAATTTCCCGTGTGTTTCCTTATGGGGTAGGATGCACTCTTTACACTTACATGTTCTTCCTCACACCAGTCCAGCAAAGCAGTTGCCATTGTCCTAAACGTATCAAAGAGGACTCCAGGTCAGGCCCAAGGTCATGTTACTTAGTCCAAGCTCCTGCTGCTTGCCACTTGACAGGCCAATAAATCGAGAGACAAGTTGTTGGGCAACTTTATTTGGAAAGCCAACAGACGGAGAAGACAGTGGACTAGTGTCTCTATGAACCATTTTCTCTGAATCAGAAGTCAGGTTTTTCTTCTATTTAAGTTGGGGAGGGGGCGGGTGGCCAAGTCCTGGTTCCAGCCAGACTCTATAGGGGATGTGTTCATTTCTTCCTTCCTGCAGCCACTTACCTGTGGGCCTGGTCAAGATGTTTCCAGTGAGCTAAACAAAGGTATTTTAGCTTAATGCTCATTACCTAAGAGACAGAGTTCCCAGAGATGGGCCATTATGTATAATTTAAGCTTATAGGCAACATTTCTTTAGTGATTAACGTAATAGAACACAAAAGGTTCTTCCTTATTACAGTTCCCCACAGTCAGTGGGGGATAACGTGCAAGGCAAATTGCTCTGCCAGGGAGTGGCGTCTGGCCCAAATTGGGTTCCCTGCTGAGTCTTAGCTGTTGATACCAGACCAAGTCCCTGTGCCCCAGGAACTAACAGGATTTTCTAATTGATCCCTATAAGGAAAAGGAGCCAGTCTGACCACTTTCTGAGCCCCAGAGTCAGGAATTAGAATTGGGGCCAAATAGGAGCAAGAGATGGCAGAAAGGGTGTATATAGTGGCATAACAGTGAAGCAGCTGGGACAGCCAGCTGGACCGAAGGTTGTAGCAACATTTCCTCACCCTGCCCTTGGGTTTCTTTCTTTCTTAAAAAATACTTATTTGGCTGCACCGAGTCTTAGTTGGGGCATTCAAACTCTTAGTTGCAGCATGTGGGATCTAGCATCCTGGCCAGGGATCGAGCTTGAGGCCCCTGCATTGGGAGCACCGAGTCTTAGCTACTGAACCACAGGGAAGTCCCACCCTTGCGTTTCTGACACGACTTAGTAACTTAACAACAACAGCAACTGTCTGACATTTCCCACCCTGATGCAGTAGCACAAGAGCTTGTATATAAGAGGAAGGGAATGGGTTGCCATTTCCTTCTCCAGGGGATCTTCCTGACCCAGGGATCGAACCCAGGTCTCCTGCATTGGCAGGCAAATTCTTTTCCACTGAGCCACACAACATAAGAGGATTTCATCATTTTCCCCTGCTTCTTCACAGAATAACTATGGAGCCATTAAAAAATTGCTATAAAACCATATAGCAGGTGGTCATCTCTAACCATGCAAAGGATGCTTTTTTGCCTTAGCATCAACCGACCAGACAATTCTGGCACAGGGCTTTTGTTGATTTTTAGGAACCAAACGGAATCTTTCTCTTCCCCCTGGGAATGTCCCACTTATAGACAAGAACAGACTTTTTCTATTCCTTTCCTCCATTCGACATCAGTAGAAGTTTCAAATATCATAAAACTGATTTGGCTGTAACTGGAGAACTGTTACCAAAACAATATGAAACCAAAAACCTAAAGGGTAAACCAAAAACCCTAAATAAACCCTCAAGTCTGGTTTTGGGGTTTAACAGATACCAATGACACCGGAGACCACACGTGATGTAATTAACAAAGCAACGACAGTAGTACATGGTGCATGGGGTCCCAAGATAACCCTGCATAATGAACCCCTTGTGGAGATCCTAGCAGGTACTGGGGCCACACATTTTCAACTTCTTAGTCATGGTTTCATAGCTGTAATCAGACCACTTATCCAAAATACGCCTCTGAGGAATTTCTTCAGGCATAGTTGAAATATTTCCCACTTTTTTTTTTTTTTTGGCCACACTACATGGCTTTCAGGATCTCAGTTCCTCAACAAGGGACTGAACTGGGCCACAGCAGTGAAAGCATCAAATCCTAACCACTAGATCACCATGGAACTCCCCATTCCCCATTTTTTTAAAAGACACAAATACAAGACAAACACACACAAATGCTAGCATCCAAATAAACAAACCAATTCACATAAATTGCATAAAAGTCCATCAACTATGTCCTCTTATCCTCTTTCCAACATGATGCCCTACTCAAATGTGCTTCCCAGGTGGTGCTAGTGGTAAAGAGTCCGCCTGCCAATGCAGGAGACGCAAGAGACGAGGGTTTGGTCCCTGGGTGGGGAAGATCCCTTGAAGTAGGAAATGGCAACCCACTCCAGTATTCTTGCCTGAAAAATTCCATAGACAAGAGGAGCCTGGAGGGCTGTACAGTCCATGGGGTCGCTCTGAGTCAGACACGACTGAGCGACTGAGCACACACACTCCACTCAAATACAAATTGGCTTATTCTAAAGGAAAGCAGCCCCAAATGGAGAAGAAATAAAATCTCCAGTTGTTACATGGAGTGGTCTACCTCTTTCTCCACCTGCTAAGAGCTGGGGCAGCCAGAGCAGCTTCAGGGAATTTTAAGGGGACGATCCTCAAGACGAGTGGTCCGGGCAGCTGCTGGGGCCTTACCCCCTGACTCCCCCAATCAGAGCTGGCTGGCCACAAGCAGCAAGACTGGCTGCTCATACTGCTTTGCCATATAATAGGTCAATAAATCAAGTGACAAGTTGTTGGGGCAAGGAATAGTGGTTTTATTCAGAAAGCCATCAGCCTGAGAAGATGGAGGATTTGTGTCCTTATGAACTATCTTCCTTGAGTTAGAATTCAGGCTTCTTTTAACACTAAAAGAGGAGGGAGTAAAGTCCTGGTTCCGGCCAGACTCCAGGAGGAATTTCTTCCTGCCTTCAGTCTTTCACAGATGGGCCTGGTCAGGAAGATGCTTACTCATGAGCTAAACAAAGGTATTTTAGCTTAGTGCTCATTAACTGGGTGACAAGTTTCCCAGAGATGGGCCATTATGTGTAATTTAAGCTTATAGGCAACATCCCTTTAGTGATTAACTTTAAAAGAACACAAAGTTTCTTCTCCCTTTTATAGTCACACAAGTAGATTGGCAACGATGCCTGAGACTTACAGTCAGCTTTACTGATCATGGACACCTGTGTTCGTTTTACAGGCCACAGAAGCATTTCATGTCCACCATTCTGGGGTCTCCTTCCTTGTCCTTATAAGGTCCTTCAAAACCACCCCCTGAGGACACTGAGTGTCCATACAGCTTTTCTATTTCCCCACATACCCTTGAAACTTCAGCTCCTCCTGCTAATGCCTTTTCATTGCTCATTTTAGACTTCGGTCGCCCAGAAAGAATCTCATTGGCCCAGCTCACCTCCTTGCACATGGCCGATAAGGGTACCGGATCTAAAATATGCGCTGCTGCTCATTCCACAGCTTCTGAGCGAAGGCTGGGCCAAGGACTGTTGTGATAGATGCAGCTATTTATTCAAACATTAATAGACACCTACAAGTTTCCCTGCACAGGGCCAGATGCTCTGATTAGAGAGATGAATAAGCTATGGCCCCAAGGAGGAGGAAGAGACGTTACAGGTAACAAGCAGAAGCCATGGGTAGAGTCCCGTGTCACTTAGCTTCTTGGCGTTGCAAGAGTCAGATTCACGAGCGAGGTCCCCTGTAGGTTTCCACATAGACTGGGACAGCCTGGACCACTGTCAGCACCCAAGGCCACCCTGGGGACTGGCCACTGCTGCCTTTGCTCCGGGCTCCTCTCACGCCTGCTTTCTCTGTCTGGTACGTCCTTTTCCTATTGTGTGGTCTCTGCTCTCTCGTGGCTTCCGCATCATCTCACCCCTAGTCTTGGCCCCACATCAGCCTTGACTTCTCTCTCCAGAGGCAGCCAATTCAGACTTTGCTGCCTGATGCCATGAGGCTGTGGGTGCAGGCCCAGAAAGGTGCTGGGGTGGGCCAAAGATGCCCCCTTTGCCCAGGGTGGTGGGCATGGCCACACAAGCAGTGCCATCCATCACTTACCAACCCAGCCCACCTCCTACATATCTAGTTACCAGGACACCCTGTCATGAGTCCATTCTCACAGCCACAATTGAAGATGCATCACACCCTTCCAGCCAGGATTGAAACGTGATGTCTTACTTCCAAGACTGATGGTGACACGGGCCCTTCGAAAAAGCTCTCAAAAAAAAAAAAAAAAGAAAAAGCTCTCAACCTCAGAGTCCAGTGTCCTCAGGCTTACATTCAACCTTCTCTGGGTGTGGTTTCTGTTTTCCAAACCATGGACTAACTCCTCAGTTTAATCATCATCACTACATCATGTATAAACAATACAGCTCTCTCTCTCTCTCTCTTTCTCTCTCTCTCTCACACACACACACACACACACACACACAGCTCTGTGCTGGAAGTGAGTAACCCCTCTCTCTCTCTCTCTCTCTCACACACACACACACACACACACACACACAGAGAGACATCATGTAAGATACAATAAATGGGCAAACCCACACTTGGACCAACAACCTGCATGTAGGAGAGTCACCTGGGGTGGAGGGACAGTGAGTAGGAATTGTAATCCCAAACCTGGGCCTGCAGCCTGAGTCGCTGGCCCCAGCCATCGTGTTCTCTAGGAGAGGGTTTACTGCAGAGCCTCAGCAGGGTGGTAACTTGCGGGTGGAGGTCTTACTCTCACCAGTGAATCCCAGGGGCATCTCCTGCAGAGTCACCACATCAGAAAATCCTCCCCTGGGGGAGTCCCCAGAAGGGATTCTCACTCTCCCAGAGCTGAGCCAGCATCTTTCCAGTGTTTGCTCTGGATGAACATCGCCTGAGGGATGGAGAGGCCGATTTGGAGTCAGGCACCTGATCCAGGCCTGGATTTTGTACTTTTTTTGGTCTCGCCACTAGGCACATGGGATCTTGGTTCCCGGACTAAAGATCGAACCCGGGACTCTGCAGTGGAAGCGCAGAGTCTTAACCACTGGACCTCCAGGGAGGTCCCCGGTTTTGTCCATAAAAAAGGACGAATGAAAATTCCACAGAAGCTCAGTGGGCTGCCTGGCAGTTATGTTTCTGGAGACGCCTTGACTTCCAAGCTGGAGCCAAAGATCTCAGCTCAACAGGAAGCCACTCCCTTCACCTCCCGGCTCTTGGCTCTTGGCTGGCAACTCGGAACAGCTGCACTGCCCGGGCGGCCAGCTCTGCTCCTCAGCCATCAGCACCCCACGGGGGCAATATCCCCAGGCTGAGGCCCCGCCACTGGCAACCGAGGGGGCTTCTCTTTTTTGATGGACCTGGAGAGTGGGTCTGGCTGAGCCAGGACGTGGCAGGGGTGTGGTAGACACTGATTTCTAGCCTGTCTCTGGCTCTGGGACCTAAACCCTTGGATGGTTGAGACCTTGCTGGGTTCCTTGTTCACGGCACATGGCCCAGAGCCCAGGACATAACAGGCTCCATAAGTGTTTACTGGATGAATAAGGAAGAACAAATGAATGTGTATCTTCCCAGCACCCTCCCTTCTACTGAGAAGTACTCCTATCCAACCACCTGACCACAGAGGAGCTGCTAGCTCCTTAAAGATGCCCCCACCACCACCCTCACAACCCTGGCCAGAGCTGATGGGCCAAGGGGAGGACACCTGACCCAAGCCAGGCCAAAGAAAGTTTTTCCAGAGAATTTTGTTAAACAGGAACTCAGGGGCAGTCTCCCTGCTGTAGAAGATGTGAAATGTAGACGCAGGAGACAGCCACGTTGATTCCTTGCATTTTCCATGGAGTGAGAGAGAATGTGGCTGATACACAAAGACGAGTAGAGACAAGAAAAGACCCGCCTCCCAGCCCCGGGCTCCAGAAATTCCTGAGGCCCAGCTGTGCTGCTCTCCCCCTGCAGCCTGGTTGCCCAGGGATTCCTCTGATTGAATGAGGTACTACAGTGCCTTAATAGCACAGCTCCCTTTCCTTGGCTTAAAAATTTTAAGATTTAAGAAAAGTAAAGTGAAACAAAGGAAACAAAAATGTCCTCTTACACAACGCCCGGGGAAACGCCTCTGACAATAAAAAAGCAATACATGCCCATCACCAGAAAAATGGAAGAGTCCAGAAAGACTTAGTGAAAATCAAAAACTTTCCTCTTCCTAAAAGTTAACAGCTCCCTGTAAGTCAAATTCTCTTAGACCAAAGTCTGGCACATGTGTGTGTGAATATATGTATGTATATACACATATAACCTTCCCTGGTGGCTCAGAGGGTAAAGAATCTGCCTGCAATACAGGAGACCCAGGTTCCATCCCTGGTCGGGAAGACCCTCTGGAGAAGGAAATGGCAACCAACTTCAGTATTCTTGCCTGGAGAATCCCATGGATAGAGGAGCCTGGTGGGATACACAGTCCATGGGGTCGCAAAGACTTGGATACAACTGAAGGGGCTGAGCATGCAGGCATACGAAGAAGCATCAGAATATGTTTACTATTCAGTAGCTTTTTCTCCCTCAGTATATTGTAGAGATTGACTCGTAACATCACACATGAGTCTTCCCCAGTCTCCTTATCGCTGCAGTGTTCCACTGCATGCATATAAATCATAGATAACGCATTACCCAGTGGACAGACGTTTAAGAAGTTAATAATCTGGGGTTTTGTGATCACATACTATGCAACTATATGTATGCATTTAACTTTGGCGGACCTTTGCAAATGATCCATAGGGTAAATTTCTGGCAGTGAAATTGCCCGGGCAAAGAGTTTATGTATTAGAAAAAAAACAACTATTGATGCCTTTTGCCATGTGGTTCTCCAAAAAGCATGCACCCACTTACATTCACTCCAACACATCACAAGAATACCTGTTTCCTCATACCTTCCCCAGGCAGCCTATTATCAAATTTAAGACTTTTTGCCAAGAGGTGAACACTGCTGTCTCATTAGTTTGATTAACGTGCCTTTTAAAAAATGTATTTATTTACTTCTGGCTGCACTGGATCTTCATTGCTGCACATGGGCTTCCTCTAGTTTCAGCAAGCTCCGGCTTTATTCTCAAAGGCTCAGTAGTTACAGCACACGGGCTTGGTTGCTCCACAGCATGTGGGATCTAGTTCCCTGACCAGGGATCAAACACATGGCCCCAGCATTGGCAGGCGGATTCTTAACCACTGGACACCAGGGAAGTCCGTTTTACATGTCTTGATGAAGAAAATTGAGATTTTGTTTTTTTCAGCAGATAGTTTAGCCATCTATGTGTATCTCTTCTTTCTTTTTCTTTTTTTGAAAACTGCCTATTCATTTCAGTGGAACAATATAATATGTTCCAATCATATGAGAATCTGCAATACAATGAAGATAAAATATTACATTGATGTTGAAAACTAGGGGATTTCCCTGGTATTCCAGTGGTTAAGACTCCACGTTTGCAATGAAGAGGGTGCGTGTTTCATCTAAGATCTCACATCTTAGTTTTAGTCCAGTGATGTGGCTAAAAAAGAGGGGGGAGGGGAAAGAGAGGGCAAGACACAGGAAGAGGAAGGAGGGAGCGAAGCTGTCCCATGGGGCACCCTTGGGGATCCAGGGGCTCCCAGAGGCCCAGGGTGAAGGACTCACTCTCACCAGGCATTGCTCTCTGTCCCATCTTGGATAAACAAGTCCTTGGGACTTACCAGTACAGGAAAGAAAGTCCATACTAGTCATCTTGTTAAAGGGGATCTCCAATCAACTTTTCACTTCAGGACAGAAGAAGACCAGAAAATGAATCATGAAGAGAAGTCTCAGCATCAGTCAAGAACTGGGAGCACCTTCACAGCAAGTTTCTACAACCTCATGGGCTTGGCCTCAGAGAAGGTGATCTGACTACAGATGCATCCCTGGGATTCCACAGATGTTGAAGGTCCAGGAAAAAAATGACTGAGTCAGAGAAAAACTGCTAAGAACTCCCAGTTCCTAATAGCCTGATGAAGTGGAACTCCTCACGCAAGTAGGAGGCAAAAGGCAATTATAAAATGAAGTGGGTTAGGGATTTCCCTGGTGGTCTAGCAGCTAAGACTCTGCTCCCAATGAAGGCGGCCAGAGTTCGATCCCTGGTTGGGGAACTAGATCCCACATGCCCAAAATGAAAGCTACTACCTGTTGCAACTAAGACCCAGCACAGCCAAAGAGATAAATAAAAATAAATATTTTTAAAAAATGAAGTGGGTTATATCCAGTGATTCATACTCCTAAACTTTTTTTTTGACTCCTAACACTCTTAGTATTTATGCTCTCAATATTAAAAATAAGTGGAGCTCAATTTTTTAAAAGTCAGGTGTAAAATAAACTACCACTTTGGGAACTTGGCAGTTTCTTACAAAATTAAAAGCATGTATTTCCTTTCTGACCTAGGAATTCGAGTCCCAGGAATTTATCCAAGAAAGAGAAAAGCTTATGTCTGCAAAAGATCTGCACACAAACCAGAGCAACAGTTACTCGGCTGAGAGGACTGACCAGAAGCGGCACAAGGGAATGAATGAAAATGTCTGTACTGATAGCGGTGGTGATTACACAGATGGACATATTTCCCAAAACTCATAGAACTGTACACCTCAGATCTGTGCATTTCTCTGTATATAAGTTATTGCTCAATTTAAAAGGTTATTAGGGAATTCCCTGGCAGTCCAATGGTGAGAACACGGTGTTTTTACTGCCAAGGGTCTGGATAGCTAAGATCCCATAAGCCACCTGGCACAGATTTAAAACAAACAAAAAAAAGCTTATTAGTTGAAAAAATTAAAGTAAGACATTGTTGGGACTTCCCTGGTGGTCCTGTGGCTAAGATTCTATGTTCCCGATGCAGGGGGTTTGATCCCAGGTCAGGGAACTAGATCCTGCATGCTGCAAGACTCAGCGCAGCCAAAAAATAAAAATTTTTTAAAGTAAGACATTGTTTAAATGCACAATAGAGGACTATTAATAGAGCATACAACTCAGTTTTATAATTTTTAAACTCGATTTTAAATACAGTTGCCATTCTGTACATGTGGACCCAGAAGCCATGGAAACAGAGGGCTGACTGTATTTACCCAAATATGGGGGAAATATCAGTAAACTGAAATGGAAAGGGGCAGTGATAAAGAATAGCTAATGATGAAATGGTAATGAAAGATCTCCCCTCCCAGCGAACCCACACCAGGTAGCTTTATGAATGAGTTCTACCAAACTTTCAAGGGATGGATCACCTGTATTTTGCATAATCTGTTCCTGAAAACAAAAGAAGAAGTCAAGCCAACTAGATTTATGAAGATTTTACTCCAGCTAAGGATGGATGAGAAAATAAAAATATAGGCTTCACTCACTTATGAACATAAATGTGAAAACCCCAAAGGAAATATGGGCCAACCAAATCCAGAAGTTTACTGGAAAAGAAATCTTCCAATCTAATGAGGTCAAGTTTGCCCTGGGGGGTGCGAGGACGGTGTGCCACCCCACATTCTTCCTTTCTGACAGAACCCCGGCTTGTTGGAGGCAGCACAAATGCCCCAGCCCCAAGGGATGAGTCACGATTAGTCACAGCCATGCCCTGCTCTCCGCCAGACACTCAGAATGCAACCAGCAGCACCAAGATCCATTTCTGACTTATGATACCAGGACAAGTCGACCGGGGGAGGAGGTATGGGTGGAAGTCCAACCTTGACTGGTGAAAGGAGAGTCACTGATAGTAAAGCAGTTTAGCGCTTGCTTCTGTTGTCCCTCCTTCCCGTTCATCACCAGATTTGTGTCTTTGGATGCAGCAGTCAGCTTGCACCCCTGAGGGTGCCGTGAGGACAAAAAGCCAGTGTGCTGAGGATGGCAAGACAGAAAGAGACTCTTGACTGGAGGATGCCATCAAGTGCTGGATTAACCTGAGATGGACCCTCTCCAGCCTGCTCATTAAATAGTTACTGTTCTTTGAAAATTCCCTGGTGATCCAGTGGTTAGGACTCCATGCTTCCACTGCAGTAGGCACAGGTTTAATTCCTGGTTGGGAACTAAGATGATCCCTCAAGCCACAATGTATGGCCAAAATAAATAAATTAATTAATTAATAAACTTTAAAAAATAAGCTACTGCCCTTAGATTTTTAAGGTACAGCTGCTGGTCTTCTGTTATATGCAGCAGAGATCATATCTACCAGCTCAAATGGCTTATAATCAGGAAATCTACCACCATTATTCACTGCATTAGTGGACTAAAGGAGGACAAGCACACGATTGTGATTTGTAATAGGAGAAGCTCAGGGCACAATGCCTAATTTTAATCTATAAAACTTCAGAGGGAATTCCCTGGTGGTCCAGTGGTTAAGAATCTGCCAGCCAATGCAGGGGACATGGGTTCAATCCCTGGTCTGGGAAAATCCCACCTGCCTCTAAGCACCTAAGCCCATGCGCCACAGCTACTGAGTGCCTTAGAACCTGTGCTCTCCAACAGAGATGCCACCACTAGGGAACTAGCGAAAGCCCGCCAGCAGCAACAAAGACCCAGTGCCACAAACAACAACAAAAAAGAAAACAAAGCAAATAAAACAATCCTATAACTAATGTATTTAATGATGCCCTCCTGGTTAACATGGATACAAGACAGAATTGCCACTACCACAATATTGGGGGTCCTGACCAATGTGCTAAGATAAGACAGTGCAATAAGCAGTACAGAGACATGAAAGGAAAAGATACACCCATTGTTACCTGTGATGATATGATCACCTATGTAGACAATCTACCAGAAACCATAAGCAAACTACTAGAACCAAAAGGAGAGGCAGGGACTTCGATCACTACAAGAAAAATTTAATGCTAATAGCTCTCCATTAGGAATTATAGAAAACAATACAGTATACAATATAGTATACAATATACAATATAGTATACAATAGTAATACTATATATAAAGTATTCAGGACTTGATTAAGAATGTCCTTTCCATTTATGTAAAGTCTTTATGGAAAAAAATTAAAACTATTAAAAAGAAATGAAATTTTGGTATAAATGGAAAGATCAACAATTTGTTTGGATGAGTCAAGTCAATATTATAAAGATATTGCGCTTAGTCTCTCATTTGTGTCCGACTCTTTGCAACCCCATGGACTGTAGCCCGCCAGGCTCCTCTGTCCATGGGGAGTCTCCAGGCAAGAATACTGGAGTGGGTTGCCGTGCCGTCCTCCAGGGGATCTTCCCAGCCCAGGTCTCCTGCACTGCAGGCAGATTCTTTACCATCTAAGCCACCAGGGAAGCCCATAAAGATGTTCAGTTCAGTTCAGTTCAGTTCAGTTCAGTCGCTCAGTCATATCCGACTCTTTGCAACCCCATGAATTGCAGCACGCCAGGCCTCCCTCTCCATCACCAACTCCCGGGGTTTACTCAAACACATGCCCATCAAGTTGGTGATGCCATCCAGCCATCTCATCCTCTGTCATCCCATTCTCCTCCTGCCCCCAATCCCTCCCAGCATCAGGGTCTTTTCCAATGAGTCAACTCTTCGCATGAGGTGGCCAAAGTATTGGAGCTTCAGCTTCAGCATCAGTCCTTCCAATGAACACCCAGGACTGATCTCCTTTAGGATGGGTTGGTTGGATCTCCTTGCAGTCCAAGGGACTCTCAAGAGTCTTCTCCAACACCACAGTTCAAAAGCATCAATTTTTCGGCGCTCAGCTTTCTTCACAGTCCAGCTCTCACATCCATACATGACTACTGGAAAAACCATAGCCTTGACTAGATGGACCTTTGTTGGCAATGTAATGTCTCTGCTTTTTAATACGCTATCTAGGTTGGTCATAACTTTCCTTCCAAGGAGTAAGCGTCTTTTAATTTCATGGCTGCAATCACCATCTGCAGTAATTTTGGAACCCAAAAAAACAAAGTCTGACACTGTTTCCACTGTTTCTCCATTTATTTTCCATGAAGTGATGGGACCAGATGCCATGATCTTAGTTTTCTGAATGTTGAGCTTTAAGCCAACTTTTTCACTCTCCACTTTCATCAAGAGGCTTTTTAATTCTCCCTAAATATATAAGTTAAAATTTCCGGAACTTGACAAACCTATTCCAAAATGTGTATGACAGTACAGAGGTACACGGATAGTTACATCAGCTTTGAAAAAGAAAAGAGGAGAGAACCACCCTGTCAGGTAGTAAAACATATCATAATAATTTTGGCAGAATCATTAAGACTATAATAAAAAGACACTAGAGGAAGCATATAAAAACTAGGTATGAGACACAGACAAGCCAAGGCAGTGTCGTATTTGATGTGGTCAATCTATGCAACAGTTTCCACTCTTAGAGCATGGGCTATGCTTCTGTGGCCTTCTATCCCAAAGCCTGCCATCTAGAGGGGTAGACAAACACTGAAACAAAGTATCCCCATAGCTTTGGCAGGACTGCCCGGAACTTATGTACAGTAACGAATCCAGTCTAGGGAGCTCAAAGAACAAATACTCCCCCTTCCCAGAAGTGGTTCAGAGCGAGAGCCACCAAACCATGACAGCCTTCCCGACAGATGCTCATGCTTGAGCCCAAGAGGCCCCAGGGACTGGCCCAGTTAGTGGCTTTACCATACAAATACTAGGCAGAAACATTCCATTCCACCTGCTGATGCTCAGGTTCAGGTCCATGAGAACCCCACTTCTGATTCTAATTTTTGTTGTAGTCAGGTTCTTTTGATTACAGGCAAAAAGGAATACAGTTAAATCACCTAAAAAAAAAAAAAAAAAGTTTCTCAACCTTCCTGGCCACAATTGGTTTGTGCAAAAATCATCAGTGGATGATTGTGGCTAAAGTTTGACTGGGAACAGGATATTTACATGCTATCTCCCTACACAACTGCTTCTTAGTTACAAAAGGAATAATAATATCTTTTTTTTTTTTTTGGCTGCATGGCATGTGGGATCTTAGTTCCTTGGCCAGGGATTGAACCAGCTCCTGCAGTGGAAGCTTGGAGTCTTAACCACTGGACCTCCAGGGGAGTCCTGAAAAATAGTATCATGACAAGGGAGAGAATGGGTAGATTCCCCTTAATCAAACGCTTGAGGTTTTAACATTATCAGTTACGGGTCAAATTGACATAGCATATCTCCCGATATGATGTACTGAGAAAGACACATCATTCATCTAATATTCCTGCCAGGAAAACAACCCAAATCCAATCATGAGAACCATCAGCTAACCTGAAGAAATATCTACATAATTGAGGGATATCCTGTGTAATTACCAGATGATGGTTTTCAAAAATGTTGAAGTCATGAAAAATAAAGACAGATTAAGGAACTAAAGGAAACTAAAGAGATATGGTCCTGCATTGGATCTTTGACTGGGGGAATAAAACTATAAAGGACATTTTTCACACAGATGGCAAAATGGGAATACGAACCGTGAGTTGGATAATGGTATTGTATCAATATTAAATTCTTGAAATTAATAACTATACTACAGTTAGGTAAGAAAATGTCCTTGTTTTTTAGGAAATATGTTGAAATATTGAAGGGAAAAGATGTGATGTCTGTAACTTACTCTCAAATGGTTCAGGAAAAAAACAAAGTGAGAAAGACGAAGTGAGAAAGCAAATGAGACAAAATGGTAATGAATGGTGAGTCCTAGCCAAAGTGATACATTTTAATAAAATTAACCATTACACTATACAGGGGATGTTTATTGTCAAGTCCAATAAATTTAGAAGTTGGCAATCAAAAGCTAGCCAAATTCACCGGAGGGACGATGGGATCAATTTACCTTCTCCTATTCTACCTGCTAAGTACGACTGGACATTATATGTAAAGCAAACACAAAAACATGCAGAAAGCTGAAAGGCTAGGTGCCTCAGGCTCCCAGGAACAGACTGATGGTGGTGAGATCCCTGGGTTTTCTTTTTGCCTCGAATGTCCCTCTCTTGGAGGAAAAGAAATTAGCAACCTGGAAACACCACAGACACAGCCCCAACAAAAGCCTGCTCTCTCCGCCAGGAAAGGGAGAGCCTAACGGCAGAAAACTCCGAAAATAGCCACTTGAGTCCAGCCAAATATTACAGAAAAACGTTGACCCCACCCACACCCATACCAACAAAGGCCAAGTGGTGAGCATAGATTTCCAGGCTTGCTATAAGGTGCCCCAACATCCCTGCTGGGGTGGTTTCTAAGAAGGCCAAGGAGGGAGTGGGAACTTTCACTCCCATCAGATGGTAATGAGGCCTCCCATACTCAGGGCCCATGGAAATTGCAGGGAAGCCTGTACGCCCATCCAGATGGGCAGTGACCAGACATCGTTCACCCTCCCTGCTAGGCTGGTGTCAGAGGAAGCCTCCTAGAGAGTCAGAAGTTCCCCTCATTTCTGCAGAAATGAGGGCATCCTCCCCAAGTGGCAGTGGTGACCTGGTGAGGAATTGGAACTCCCACCCTCACTCATGAGATGTCCACAGAGGCTGGATGTGAAACTTGAACTTCTGCCTCCGCCTGGCAGTAAGAAGGCGGTGCCCCTCCCTTCCCTGCCAGAGCAGTAGCAGAGAAAGCCAGCTGAAACAGAAGGTTTAAATCAGATCCAGAGTCTCATAAAATAACGTTAAGATGCCCCTGTTTCATTAAAAATTAGTCAATGTACCAAAACCAGGGAAGGTCTCAAACTGAATGAAAAAAGCCAGTCCGTAGCTGCTACCACCCAAAGGGACAGAGATGTCAGAGCTATCTGAAAAATCATTCAAAGTAGCCACGACAAAATGCTTTCACAAAAAATTATGTATGTGCTTGGAACAAATGAGAAAATAGAAAGCTTCAGCAAAGAAAAAGAAGATCTAAAGAAGAACTGAATGGAAATTTTAGAGCTGAAAAAATATAATAACTGAAACGAGAGCTCAGGGAATGGGCTCTGCCACAGAATGGAGGGGACAGAGAAAAGAATCAGTGAGCTGGAAGATTCAATAATGGAAATCACCCATTCTGAACAACAGAGAGCAAGAAGAATAAAATTAAAAAAAAACAAACCAACACAGTCTCCCATGGGACCTGTAGGACTACAACAAAAGATCTGCCAGTATGTCATCAGAACCCCAGAAGCAGAGGAGAAAGAGGATGAGGCTGAAAGAGTTCTCAAAGAAATAAGAGCTAAAAACTACCCAAATTTGCAGGAGACATAAACTTACACATGTAACATGCTGAGCAAACCCCAAACAGGATAAACTCAAAGAATAACCCAAAGATAAAGCCTCCCAAAATAAACATGCAACTACCATATGACCTAGAGATTGCATTCCAGAGCAATTTTCCCCAGGGAAATGAAGACTTACGTTCACACACAAATCTCTAACATGGACAGCACATCTATCTATAATACGTCAACAACTGGGATCAGCCTTCCTGTCCATCCACTGGTAAACAGATAAGCTGTAACAGATATACATACTAGGGAAGACTACTCAGCAATAATAAGAAATGAACTTCTGATGCACACAACAACCTGTACAAGTCTCCAGAGAATTATGCTGAGTGGAAAAAACAAAACAGTTCCAAAAGGCTATATACTGTATGATCCCATTAATGTAACATTTTCTGGGGGGGAGGGCATGCCGTGCAGCATGTGGGATCTTAATTCCCTGACCAGGGATCAAACCCATGCCCCCTTACATCCTTGAGTTGGAAGCTTAGGATCTTAACCCTGGACAGCCAGGAAGTACCAATATAACATTCTTGAAATGACATGATTATAGCATGAAGAACAGATTAGTAGTGGTCAGAGTTAAGGAGGGGTGGGGAGGTAGGAAGGAAGAGGCTAAGGGTATCAAAGGGCAACCTGAGGAATCCTTAAGGTGATGGAAATGTTCTGTATCTTGACAGAACAGTGTCAATATCATGGTTGTGATACTGGATGCACTACAGTTTTGCAAGATGTTACTGTTGGGGAAAATTGGGTAAAGAGTCCACAGGATCTCCATCTTATTTCTTAACAACTCATGTGAATTGATAATTGTTTCAAAATAAGAAGTTTAACTTTTAAAAGTCTACCTTAAATTTTAAAAAGTATCTTTGTAAATAATTCCACTTTTAAAAAACTAAAAAATACAATCTTTAAGTTCATTATGTTGCAAGTAACATTCCAACATCAACCAGTTTTTAAAAAAACTAAAAGAGGATTTTTGGCTCACTGAACTTCAAAATCTGTTTGATAAAGCATTTCAGTGATGCCAAGGACCTGGTTTCTTTTTTCATTATAACTTCCCTGGCATTAACTTCATCCAAAGGTCAGATCCCCTTGTGATCACAAAAAGATGCCAACAACTCACTTGGGGTTACTTATTTCCGTGTCCACATCCAGAGAAAGTACACATATCTCAACCAACCAACAGAAGTCTTGGGCTTCGTTATGAAAGGACCAACTTACTTTCTGTCTCCATCCTTGGACTAGTCATTCTGACCATGGGACACCCTTACCAGCTTGTATCAGGGGAGGAAAGGAAGGAGGTCCCCTTGTTCAAGGGGAGGAAGACTAGTGACTAACTTAGGTCAACATATTCAGGTGGGATGGAGTCATCTGAACCCAAAATTCTAAGGATGGAGTATGAGTAATTTCTCAAAAGAAGAAAAGCTGAATGGGTCTTAAGTAGACCTCCAACTAATGTCTTCTGCACAAACTCTAAAAATGAACCACAGAGCTTCCCTGGTGATACAGTGGTAAAGAATTCACCTGCCAATGTAGGAGACACAGGTTCAATCCCTGATTTGGGAAGGTTCCACATGCTGCAAAGCAACTAAGCCAGTTTACCATAACTATTGAGCCTGTGCACTAGAGCCCAGGAACTGCAACTATTGAGCCCATGCGCCACGACTACTACGTGCCCTAGAACCCATGCACTGCAACAAAGAGTAGTAGTAACTCTTTATATATAAAGAGTAGTGGGGGGCTAGAGAACAGCCCAAGCAGCAATAAAGACTCAGCACAGCCAAAACAAATACATAAATAAATAATTTTTAAAAATAAATAAAACACAACCAGAACCCTAACTTAGGTTTCTTTGGACACATGCAACAGAAATCAACTCTAACTTAATCCCACACAGAGTTCTTGAAAAGATGCAGAAGCTCACTGACCACAAGTGAACACTGGAAATCCAGGACTGCTCAGGAATCAGGTGACTCCAGGGAATTAGTATCAGGAAGTATTCTACAGCTTTTCCTGAGCCCTTTGTCAAAATGAATCAAGTCCAGTCCTATTTTCTCTTCTGTCGCCTCATTCACTGTTTGAAATCCTAGGAGGAGGATTTTGGGATGTCCATGATTAGGTCATATCCCTGGGCTGAACTCAGGTGGTGATGGAAGGATCTAGTGGAAGGAACTTCCAAAGACATTTTGGTTTCCAAAGCAACAGGCCAGGATTCCTACTCGCATCAAAGTCTGCACTCATCTGGGGGGGGGGGTGTGTGTGTAATCTCTCAAAAGGAACGGGGGTCCTCTTATTTGAAAGGAATAGATGCTAGATTTAAAAATTACAAATATTCAGTACTTCCCTAATGGCCCATGGCTAAGACTCTATGCTCCCAATCCTGGGGGCCTGGGTTTGAGCCATGTCAGGGCACTAGATCCCACATGCTGCAGTTAAGGGTTCACATCCTTCAACTAAATCTCCCACGTGCCACAATTAAGACCCAGCACAGCCAAATAAATAAAAAATTTTAATCAGAAATATTCACCTTGGGTATTACATGATAAAATATGTGAGGTGACACAAAGCAGCACTCAAATGATAAGTATTAACTGAATGAGTTTACCTGAAAATCAAGATTGAAAATAAGTCAACTAAGATTTCAACTCAAGAAGGCAGAAAGAGAACATGAAAATAAGCCCACTAGAAACTAACAAAACATTGTAAATCAATTATACTTCAAAAAATAAATTACAAAATAAAGAAAATGGGCTCAAAGTATGAGAAATTATTCAAGGTAAAAGTAGATATTTGTCACCAAATCAAAAACCCCAACTATTGACTAGTGAATATAATAAATCTGGTTCTTGGACTAGCCCACTAAAACAGACCAATCTTTGGCAAGTTTGGTCAATAAAGAAAGGGAGGCAGGGAGGAAGACAGAGAAGAGGAAGAGCAAAAATATAAGTAAACAGCATCAGGGGTCATAACTACAGGTATGGAGATTTTAACAGATTATAAAAGTATAAAATGTGCAAACTTACAATAAATTGAAAGACACATGAAACTGATATTATATTAGAAAAATAACAGTTACAAAAATTGACTCAAGATGTAGAAGCTTCAAGAGACAAACAATTAGAGCAGGAATTGAAAAGGTATTTGAGGAGTTTTCCCGCAAGTGTCTCCAAGCCCAGTTTCATAGGTGAATTCCACCAAAACTACATGGAAAATCCCTATGATCTCTAACTTTTCCAGAGAACAGAAAAATTTCCAGCTTATTTTACAAGGCCAGTAGAACTCTGATAACAAAACACAACAAACAGAGAGGGACAAAAGCACCCCCCAAAGAAATCTATGGGCCACACCTATTTTCTAATTTACATGTACAAATTCTGAATAAAATCTGAGCAAACTAACCTATGTTTAATGAATAATTCATAATGGCTAAGTAGGGTTAATCCCAAACATTCAACGATGTAAAATTAGAAACAATCCAGGCCATCAGCATGTGAAGAAAGTAAAACATTAGGACCATTTCACTAGGTGCTGAAGCACAAGAATCCCTTTTCTGTGTCTGCAAAATCCTTCAACATGGAAATCTTTGGAGAAGCAGAACCTGCCTTGTATTATAGAAGGTGAAAATGCCAGATACCTTGCTTTCCAAGACTCCTTTGTAACTGGGTCATAGGTACAAGATCAATTGGACTCACACCCAGACTTTTTAATATTTATTTGTTTTGACTGTGCTGAGGCTTAGTTGCAACATGTGAACTCTTAGTTGCGGCATGTGGGATCTAAGTTTCCTGACCAGGGATCAAAGCCAGGCCCCCTGCATTGGGAGTGCAGAGTCTTAGCCACTGGACCACCAGGGAAGTCCCTTGAACCCAGACTTTGAATCAGGAGTTAGTATCACAACAGAGGAGGGATAATGCAGGATTCTCTCTCTGCAGTCAGGAGGCTGTGCTAACCCTGAGCTCCTGGCCCAGCAGTTGCAGTGGAACAAGCTTCAGAGACCTGGTCTTGCAGCAAGAGCAGAGATTTCCTCACCAGACTGGTTCTGCAGCCTGGTTCTTAGCTCTGTTCCTAGCTACACGGGCCCACGTATGGTTCTCTAGCTCTCATTCAGAAGTCTCTGAAGTAGCCAATGTAGTTTCAATAAATTCCTCTTCAGCATAAATTAAGTAGAAAAAATTTCTGTTGCTTACAACTAAAAACCCTAACTGATGCTAAAATGGCAAAAAACCCCAACAGCCTCAGAGGCCTTACTCCATGTCGTGGGCTCTATGCAACTTCACCTCGCTTCTGGCTACTTACTTAGTGCCTTGTTTTCTCCCTGTCTTTGAGTACTCTTTGCAGCCAGCAAATTATATAAAATCATATGACTAACAGGTCTATGGATTAACTGCATCTGGCTCAAGTATCCATTCCTTGTCCAGTCACCAGCCAGCAGATAAGGGCAGGCCCATGAGACCATAGGGTACCCCTTCTAGGGGACAGTCAATAGGGCATTTTCATCATGGAAGGGGCCGTGGACCAACAGATATGACATCTATCTGAAATAGGCATCCAACTGGGTCTTGGAAAATCCTAAAAGGCTTTTCAGAGGAAGAAATTCTGGGTTGGAACTCCCCAGATAAGTAAGTTAGGCAGAAGGGGATAAAGGGAGAGAAGAAGGCACAAGAAGGAGAGTAACCTAGAGTCAAGGATGGAGCGTTAAGAGATGGGATTAGGGACTTCCCTGGTGGTTCAGATGCTAGGACTCGGAGTTCCCAATGCGGGGGGCCCAGGTTTTGGTCCCTGGTCAGGGAACTAGATGCCGCATGCTGCAACTAAGAGTTCTCATGCCACATCTAAGATGCAGTGCAGTGAAAGAAAGAAAGGAAGGAAGGAAGAGATAGGGGCTGGACAGGTGGGCAAGGGTCAGATCTTACAAGACTCTGTAGGCCTGTTAGGGATTTCAGACTCCCTCCTGAGGGTTGTACGGAGCCACTGGGGAGTTTCAAGCAGTGGAAGGATAGGAGCAAATCTGCATTTCTGGGGAGAAGGAGGGAGTCAGGAAACGGCGAGAGCAGTGGAGAGGCTGTCACAGAGACACAGTGGAGAAAACATGGCACCCTGGACGAAGATGGTGGCAGTGAGGGTGGAAAGAAGAGGGATGAGGGGCATTGGGAGATAAAACCAGTGGGACTTGGTGGCAGGTTAAATAGGGGGTGGAGCTAAGGATGACTCTCAGGGATTTTGCTTGCACTGGTTGGAAGGCTAGATAAATGAGTAGATGACAAAACAATTCACCAGGTTGGACAACACAGGAAGACAGGCTATTTAGAGAGAGGCAATGAACTTAGTTTTTGAACATATTGCTTCAGGGCCTGTGGGACAGCCAAGAAATTCAAAAGGCGGTGGGACATATGTGTTTGGGTCTTAGGAGAGGGGTCTGGGCTAGAGATGAAGATTTGAGAGTTACTGGGGGTACAAGTGGTGGTAGAGGGAAGGGAATGGATGAGGAGAAGCTCGGGGGTTTGTGTAGCATCAGAGAAGACCAGTGACCGAACTCTGGGGGCAAGTTAATCTCTCATAAAGGACAGAAGAAGGGGAATCCACAAAGAAGATTTGAAAAAGGTCAGCTAGAGAGGCAGGAAGAAAACCAAGAAAAAATTACCACTGGATAAACAACAAGGTCCTCCTGTATAGCACAGGGAACTATATTCAACATCCTGGGATAAACCATAATAGAAAAGAATATAAATAAGAATGTATGTATGTGTATAACTGAGTTGCTTGGCGGTAACCGCAGAACAACACAACCTTGTCAATCAACTCTAATTCAACCAAAAATAAATTTTAAAAAACCTCTAAAAAAGAAAAAAATTACTGTCACGAGTCCCAAGGTGGGAGTGGCCAAAGGTGTGCAGGCTGCGGAAAACAAGATGGTGTGGAGGAAGGAGTGTCGGGTAGATGGAGAGGGTCAGAGGCACATGGCAAGAACTGAGTCCATGGAGTAGGGGGCAGGTGGGAAACAGCCTAGAGGAGGGTGAGGAGGGAGAGGAAGGCCAGGGTTAAAAGCAGGCAATTCTAAGAATGCAGCTGTGAAGGGGAAATGAGGTGGGCAGCTGGAGAGGTTTTTAAAGCTTGGAAGTGAGTGGTGGTTGGAGTCCACCCCCGATCTCCCCAAGGTAGAAGGAGAGCAGGCGAGAACAGAGCCAAAAGGAGGGCTCAGGGCAAGTTGTGGAAGGATGTGATAAGGGCCTGTGTCCAGGATGGAGGCTGTTCCCGGGTTCCGGGAGCCCATATCAGGCTGCCATTTCCTCCCCATCCCTACCCCCTTCCTGCCCCTAACCAGGGCCTCCCTGGAGCTGGAAGACAGAAGGACCAAGTTACACCCTGGAAGAAGCTCTGTGTCTCTGGAGGCTCTTCTGCCGGTCTGTGAGCTGGGGCCAGGGCTTGGGGAGGCCAGGGCCTGAGGGAGGGACAACAGCCAAGGGCTGGAGCTAGTAGTTCAGGCTTTGCGGGAGAAGGGGAGGAGAGGGGAATGGAGGGAGAGAGGGGTGGGAGCTGAGCTTCTGGAATAATCCTAGAGGCTGTAGTGGGGGCCCGAGGGGTGCCCACTCAAGCCTCCCTTGCCCACAGGTCACCATGCCCCTCCTCCTCTTGCTGCTCCTGCTGCCAAGCCCTTCACACCCCGCCCCCATCTGTGAAGTTGGCCACAAGGACAGCCAGATAGAAGTGAACTGTGAAAATAAGGGGCTGAAGGCACCGCCTCCAAACCTGCAGGTCAACACCGCCATCCTCCACCTGGGTGAGAACCCCCTGGGCACTTTCTCCATGGCATCCGTGGTGGATCTGCCCCACCTCACTGAGCTGTTCCTGGGTAAGAGTCAGCTGACCAGCCTGCAGACAGACGCGAAACTGCCGCGGCTGGAGGTCCTGAATCTAGCGCACAATGAGCTGAGAAGCCTGCCCAAGCTGGGATGGGCACTGCCAGCTCTCTCCATCCTGGATGTGTCCTTCAACAAGCTGACCTCGCTGTCTTCTGATGCTCTGCATGGCCTGAGCCACCTCCATGAGCTCTATCTCCGCGGAAACCAGCTGAGGACTCTTCCCCCTGGGCTCCTGGTGCCCACGCCCCGCCTGAAGAAGCTCAACCTGGCTGAAAACGACTTGCAAGAGCTGCCCCCTGAGCTTCTAAAAGGGTTGGAGGAACTTGACACCCTCTATCTCCAAAACAACAGGCTGCGCACGATACCAACGGACTTCTTTGGGATGCTCCTCCTGCCTTATGCTTTTTTCCATAACAACTCCTGGTCCTGCGACTGCGGGATCCTCTATTTCAGCCGCTGGCTACGGGACAACCCCAGCAATGTGTATGTATGGAAGGAGGATGTGGATATTAAGGCCATGACCCCCGATGTGAAGAGCGTTCAATGTGTCGATATGAGTGGCACATACGTCTACAACTTCTCGGGGGATGGCTGCTCCATCCCTGGTGACAGGGACTACCTGGACTACGATGAATACGAAGAGGAACACAAGGTACCTGTCATGAGCACTGTGATCAGCCCCTCTAACCACGCCATGCACTGGGACCTGCCCTATTCAGCACTGCCTACTTCACCAGGCAGTCAAGTGTCCTCCTTGCCTCCAGCTAAGAAACTGACCATGATCCCAATTACTATAGACTCCATCACCTCCTCCAAAACTCTAAAATCCACTACTGAGCCCCCCACAACTCCAACCACCCCAGAATCTACAACCCTGAACACCCCAGAACCCACAATCCCAACCACCCCAGAGCCCACTACACTGACCACCCCAGAGCCCACTTCCCCGACCACCCCAGAGCCCACTTCCCCGACCACCCCAGAACCCACAACCCCGACCACCCCAGAGCCCACTTCCCCGACCACCCCAGAGCCCACAACCCCGACCACCCCAGAGCCCACTTCCCCGACCACCCCAGAGCCCACAACCCCGACCACCCCAGAGCCCACTACCCCGACCACCCCAGAGCCCACTACCCCGACCACCCCAGAGCCCACAACCCCGACCAACCCAGAACCCGTAAGTGAGACTTTACAACCAACCATATTAACCTCCACAGAATCCATTTCACTCCCCACTATCTTAGAATCCACCATAACCATCATCTCTGAATCTGACAACCTCCGGAAGGTCCAGGGATTGGCTAATTCCAGAAACAACCCTGTTCTCAGCTCTGACTCTTGCTGTCTGTTCCTGGGCTTCTATATCTTGGGTCTCCTCTGGCTCCTGGTTGCCTCTGTGATCCTCATCCTGCTGCTGTGCTGGGTCCAGCAGCTGAAGCCATGGGCCCTGGCCACGGCCACCCACACGGCGCACCTGGAACTGCAGAGGGGAAAGCAGGTGACAGTGCACCGGGCCTGGCTGCTTTTCTTCCAAGGCTTACTTCCCACTTTCCGCTCCAGCCTTTTCCTGTGGGTACGGCCTAATGGCCGCATGGGGCCTCTGCAGGTGGGTCGGCGGCCTTCGGCCCTGAGCCTGAGTCGTGGTGGGGATCTGCTGGGGACAGTGGGTGTTAGGTACTCTGGCCACAGCCTCTGAGGGTGGGTGGTTTGGGGACCCCGAGACAGGGTCTGATAGACTCTCCTGCTGGGGCCTGATAGGGGGCGGGTGGGTACGGAGCACAGGGTCAAGGAGGTCTTCATTACTGTGCCTTTATCAGGAGTCTCCCCTGCACACAGTCCCAGACCCAGCAAATCAAGGAGGAGTTGGGGGAGGGGAGGTCACTGAACAGAGCTCCCTATGCTGCATGGATGGTGGGGTTCCCAGACCACTAGGTTATTACTATCACTTTGGCGAAGTTTTAGGAAAGAGCAAATAATATTGTAAAGGTGGTTGCCAAGTATACCTGTTGAGGAAAACTTGGAAAGAGATGTGTCAACATGTGGGCCCTGAGTGTCTCTGGATGGTATAAATAGGGGTGGTTTTCTGTTCTTTTCCTCTGTTTAGCATTTTCTAGTTTTCCACCATCGTAATGTTGTTTGTACAATAAACATAATTTTAAAATGGAATTTTGTTTCTTTGGGAGAGGGAAAAAAGGCTGGGGTGCCTTCCCCAGCATTCCCAAGGCCCCAGTTTCCCCACCCTAGTTGCACTGCTCAGAAGCTCTGGTCCTGACCTGCACCTCCCCGGCCTGGGGTGCGTTCCTTCTCTCCTCCAGGGGTCACCAACAACCAGGCCACCGCGAGCAAGTTCCAAGTCAAGAATGAGAAGTTTCCCGGGAGCTCAGGGATGCTACTGAGGGTATCTGCCTGCACCCCACAGTACTAGGCCAGGTGGGTGCTTCCTGGCACCGGGGGGCACCAGAAACACAGCCCTCCTGCTCTGCCCAGGGTGGCAGGGCAGGGGAGGGGAGGGTCTGGCAGTGTGCAAAATCTTGGTGGGTTTTACTGAATTACTCTCAGGTTTCCTGCTGTCAAGCCAGGAGGCAGGCAAATGGAACCCACTTCTCTTCCCCTGGTGCCACAGGCTCCGCCATTCCCCTTAGCATGTTGGGTAGACTTTCTCTCCTGCCTCTAGCCCAAGCCCAGACTTGGGGTCCAGAGAATGAGAGTGAGGGCTAAGCATTTCTGGCTCCAGGGAGACCCCCTCCTCCTCCGGGTGGTGCAGGGAGAATCTTTCTAATGTGAAACCCTGACATTTCTTTTCTTGCTTTGAACTCTTCCCATGATAGAATACAGCTCTTGAGCTTGGCCACCGATGACTTCTGTGCACCAACCCACCTAACGATCCGGCTTCCCCTCTCCCAGCAAACACTTCACTGCCAGTGCTCCAGCTGCTAGACTCAGCAGAGATTCCCAGCTGTTCAGTTTCTCTAAGCCTTTGCTCTCAGAGGGCCAGAGTGTTTCCCTGCCCCGCTTCCCTGACCAGTCGGTTACTGTGCAGTCTCTCCTGGCCCAGACCGGCCTGGGTGCTTCATGTCACCCTGCAATGGTCTGCTGGTGACTCTGTTTCCCTGTGTCACTCTCCCCTCTGGACTTGGAACTCATTAAGGACAAGATCCAGGCTTCAAGTGTCCCTAAGCAGCTCCTGTGGCCCAGGCCAGCATGTGTGCGGAGCGGTAAGACAAGAGGCACAGGTCGGAGGGCCAGGCTGCACCGCCAGGCTGTTGAGCTCAACTTCTGCTTCTACTGATGGGTTCTGCCAAGGGGACAGCTCCCAGCTGCTGCCTGCCTGTCCCCTGGCCTGGCTCCGGAGAAGCCTTCAGGCCTCAAGCACCAGGCCTTCCAACTGACCTTCCTATGTCCTTTTATGTCCCAAGAGGTTTCTAAGCTTCTTGAGGGCAGGGCCTGGTAGCCCACATCTAAAGAAACAAAGAAGGCAATCATCCTTCCCAGCCTGTGGCCCAGATCAAGTCTCCAGCAAACATCTTCCCCTTCCTAAGCCTCCAGGCTCTGGGGGCCTGACTATGTGTCCACTCCATGCCCTGCCCCCACCCTCCCTCCCACCTCAAAGGTCAGCCTTCTCCTCTCAGGCTGTAATCCCTCCCTCTTCAGGCTGCAGAAGCAGTCACCAGACCTCTAAGGCTTTTCCTGGGGATTACATGAGATGACCTGGGCGTCTGTCGAATTCTTGGGGGAGCGGCTGGGAAGCCTAGAGTTTGGGTTTTCTCATACGTCACCTGCTACAATATGACTGATTTATATAACACTTGTATAAAAACCGTGAGTGCTCTTTCTTTAATAATTTTTCTTACAAACTCCAGTTCCTATTCTCCAGGAGCATCTGCTCATTTGTCTGGTGTCCTCCCCCTCCTGTGCCCACAACTCTCCAGATTTGGGGGTGGTGCCAGCAATCCAATTTATTGATTATGTCCTCAGTGAGGTGGAGGGAGGAAGGGCCACGTCCTCCTACTGCAGACCTTTGATCATCTTGATGGCTTCTGCTCTCTCCTGTCCCTTCAGCCCTGCCTTGGTTTCCCCACTGAGAAAGGAGGGGCTTCTGCTGTCCTATGTGCCCTGAAACTAATATCCAAGGAGGCCCCAGAAATCCCCAGTGAGCTTCCAAGGTCCCCCCAAGGTATAGCCAGGGACAGAGAGATGATGCTGATCAGGGCAAGGAGGGCAAGCTGGAGCTGGGCAGGACAGACCAAAGTCTTTAACCGTAGAGCAGGGAACCACACTGTTGGGAAAATAAATAGAGGGGCCCAGGGTAGCAGAGTCCAGGCCCCCAGAGTTGGGGGGCACACTGACTGTAGGAGCAGGGGGTGAGACGGAGCCCCGGCGCGACTCCAGGCCCCTCACCCGCCTCAGCCACTGAGGAAGAGACGCTTGTAGGCCTTGTTCATCTGCTCCAAGAAGATGAAAGTGAGGACAGTGTGGGGGCCCAGGCGGGCATAGTATGGTGTAAAGCCTTTCCACAGGCTGAAGAAGCCCTCGTAGCGGACGACCTTCACCAGCACATCCTAGACAGGAAGGCAGGCAGGGCACTGAGGCTAGGACCTGGCCTCTGGGGTCCTCTTCCTCTTACCCAGCCTCCCGCCTTCTCCCCACTTCCCCCCATGCAGCTCAAGCCCCAGATTCTGGTTCCTCACCAGCCCATTCTTGTATTCTGGCTTCCCATCAATCATCCGCATGTTCTGGATCCTGAAGGACAGGAGGTAGGGACATGAGGACATAAGAGGGCCTTTCCCGTCCCTCTCCAGGCCCAAGTCTATCCAGATTGTCCAGATACTCACCGGGTCTTGACAATGTCCACGGGCATGGAGGCAGCAGTGGTGACCAGGCCACTGATCATGCTGGCACAGAAGTGGCACAGGATGTTGTCAGAGAAGTAGCCTGGGGGAGGTGGAGCAGGGGGTGGCAGTCAGCTTGAAGCTGGTCCAGGCTAGCTGGGAGCTGAGGGCTCAGCTCTGGGTCTCACCTGAGTCCAGTAAAAACTGCTTGGACTGGGAGTAGGAGGCAAGCTGGGCGGCATTGACGACGACAGCCCGAGCCATGGTAGGGATGCAGCCCTGGGGTGAGGGGTGGAGAGGGAGTCAGAAATGCCCAAGACTGGACCCCAGGTCCCCCAAGTCTCCAGTCCCTCTACTTACCCTCCATAGTGTGGGGACCCCTTCTTCCTTGACAATTCGAAACAGGGCGTTAAACACATTTTTGTAGCCACGACGCTGGTCAACTGGAAGCCTGGTGGGAAGGCAGGGAGAGGCCAAGTTCAGGCTAAACCACTCTGCCTCCACAGGCACAAAGAAAGGGAGGGCAGAATGCTGTGAACAGGTGAATGCTGTGCCCTAGATCTAGGATAAGAAATCACTTCTTTCATTCTAGATTCCAGGGAATGGGGCTGGGGGCAGGCTCAGACCTAGAACTCACCGGCCATCAGCAGTCATGCGGATAAGAGCCACCTCAGCTGGTGTCCCCACAAAGGCACCAGTTGCACCTGCAGTCATGCCAATCACGGCCTTCAGCAGAAAGCCAGGGGGTGTACCATCAGCCCCAGTCAGGCGCTCAAACAGCACGGTATAGATACCAAGGCGAGTAGTAGTGTAGGTGGCCTGGCGCAACAGGCCAGCTGAGAGCCTGGGGGGGAGTGAAGGGGTCAGTGCATCAAGCCCAGGTCTAGGACTGTCAACCCACAACCTACCCCCATCCTTTGGCCCCAGTACCCGGTGTAAATGCCCCTCAGCCCTTCTGCCCTCAGGATGCTGGTGAGGGCATGGAAGCTGGTTTTGTACTCTCGTTTCTTGGCTCCTTCTCCACTCAGCTGCATCCGGTTCTTCACCAGGTCCAAGGGCTGCACAAAAACCGTAGCTCCCATCCTGGGGGAAGACAGGGGTAGCATCAAGGGCTAGGTGTCTCAGATCTGCCAAAGTCCCTTGGAGCCCAGCAACAAGAGGTCACAAAGGGTAGGGCCTGCCATGCCATTGACTAAGTTTTTCAGGGGCTGGTGGGCACCTGTACAAGAGTCTCTACTTGTATCAAGAGCAATGGGTCTTAAATTCCAGCAGTCCAGAAGGGACCGTGCAATGAAAGCATTCCACGCAGCAACAAGGGTGTCAAGCAATGACCCCAGGACTGTGGGAGAGGTGGGCATTCATGACCTGGGACCCCATATAGTCTAGCAGGAGCCATGCAATGACCTGAAACCCCATAGAGTCCCGCAGTCAAGCAATGGGTTGGGAAACTCAAGTGGTCTGGTGGGGGTCGTGCATGCAGCCCAGAGGGGCCCTGAGATGGGTGAAAAGATCCTGGCAGCCCATCAAGGATCTTGCAATACGATGGGGACGGCACTGACCCCGTGTCAGCTCGGTTCACTGCAACACACCCAAGGAAGAACCGGGCCCGGTTCCTTGCACCCGTCCCTTCCTCCTCCTGTCCCATCCCTGGGGCCTGAGCTTACCCGGCCAGGCCCCCAAACAGGAACTTGACGGACTTAGGGGAGGTACGGGGCTTCCCATCCATCCCAGAAGCCCCGGGACTCGCCGTCGCCGCCATCGCCACTCAATGGCCCTCGACTCGCGGTCCCGTGCGCGCGCGGCCCCGCTCGCGCCCAAGGTGACACCGCGCGCGCAACAGGGGCGAGGGCGCGCGCGCACTCCCCTTCGGCTCTCAGGTCCAGCGCTAGCTGGAAGTTGGCGCAGGCGCAGGCACGAGCGCAAAGGCGGCCGGGAGTAAGGCGGAGCTGGAGGAGCAGCTTCAAGAATGGGTGCGGGAAGGGGTGTGGCTGATTTTGGAAGCCAGCTAAAGCGCAATTTTTATCGAATTGGAATCGCGGGAAAAAGGAGAGGAAGGTATCTGAAGATCTCGCGAGATGGACTGAGCTAGGCTAGTCAGAATTAGGCGGTCTCTCGCGATACGTACAGGAAGCTGTCAGCTGGTGGGAGGGAAATGTGGTGAGGCCTCTCGCGAGACTTGGAGGCACCGCAGCGGCCAGGACAGGTTTGTAAACCGGGCTGTTGCAGGGTCCTAGGCACTAGCGGGGAAACGACTAAGTAGTCATCTGATGCATCGGTGCTCCTTTCATCGCCATAGGCACTGCCTCCACCTCTGACCTTTCTTTTAATCGGTCTTTTAGAACCGGAAGTCCTTAGTCGTGAGCGTCCGATGCTGGAAGCGGCCTGACTTTCTTTGCCGGAAACTCTTTTCCAGGGGATGGGAAGACGGCCCACCTGGCCGGAAGTCCCACCCCTTTGAGCTCCCCCACCCTTCCAGAAGTTTTTCTGTCACCTGTGCTGGTCTCTGTCCCCTTTCCAGGTTTTATTCCTATACCGGAAAAGGATTATCTTTAGTCTCTCCCTCCCAGCTCCAATAGACTAGTTGGGTACCTCACTCCCCGAGTCGGAGGTCCTTCCCCGAGCCCCCATGTAGCTGGGAAGTGGGACCTGGGGGTGGTTGGACCCCTGGGATCCTGAAGGAGGGCCAGAGAGGGCGCAGAACTCCGTTTCTGTTCCTGTTGCCCGGCCGCGGCCCCCTCCGCCTCTCCTCCCGCTGCCATGCACCCTGCGGCCTTCCCGCTTCCTGTGGTTGTGGTCACTGTGCTGTGGGGAGCGGCCCCCAGCCGGGGGCTCATTCGAGCGGTGAGTCGGAGGGGCCAATGGGGGAAGGGCGCTGAAGGGAGAGGTTGCAGACTAAAGGGCCGACACGGACTCTTGTCCGCAGATCTCGGACCACAATGCCAGCATGGACTTTGCAGACCTCCCAGCTCTCTTTGGGGCTGCTTTGAGCCAGGAGGGACTTCAGGTGATTTTCTTCCCTTTCTCCTGTTTCCTTAAATTCTCTCTCCTGGGTAGAGGTTCAGCAGCCTTTCTTGGAGCTGTTAGTGGGGAAAGTGTCAAGTTAGGAACTAAGTGCAAGAGCACGTCGAGTGTGATGGAATCCAGAATCTGGAGGTGAAAGACAGTCTACTCCTAGAACTCTGGGCCTTGGAAGGGAAACTGAAAGTGGACTGAGATGACAGGTAGGGTCTCTAGAGCCATTTACTGCCCTTATGATCTTGACAAGTTAACTATCTCTCTGAGCCTTAGTTTGTTTTACTGTAAAATAGGAAAATAATAGAACTTATCACAGGATTATTGGGAGGATTAAATTAGATAAGCAGTTTTGTAGTACTTTCTCACAGACTGCCATATAGCAAGAACTCAGTTGGGCCATAAAGACCGGTATTGTTGTTTGTAAGATGGGTAATTGGAAAATTAAAGGGAGGTGTTAAGAAATAAAATTCAACAGGAGTAATTTTAAAGCTCTTACTGACTTTTATTTAATGACCCATGAATCAGGCAGCATTCCACCCAGCAGATAGATCTCTGAACTATACAAAATGAAAGATTTACAGGCAGAAAGGGGTGGGACAAGGAAGTTATACCAGCAAAGATTTGTTTGTGGCAAAATCACCTTGCTTTAGGGGACAGAAGGGATCTGTCAGGCAGATTACCTCACTAATGCTGACCTTGTAACCCCAGATAGACTGGTGTAAGATTCCATTCTTGGGGGAAGCTAAAATTATAATTAAGTATTGAGTTTGGTAACAGGGGGCTCAGCACAAATACCTCCATTTGGTTTTTTTTTTTTTTTAAACAAGTATGTACTAGAGCAGGGAATGTGAAAAAACTTGAGAAAGTGATGTGGATGAATGGAGAATCGAATTACAGTCAGTGGGGAACTGGAAGGCCGAGGAATTAGCCAGGAGTGGGGGTACAGGTTAGCTCATGTGGGAAAGAGAGGGATGATGCAGAGTCTAGTAAAGGGCTGTCATTTGCCCAGAGTTGCATCTTCAGAAGGTTAAGAGGTAAATTTCTGACTTTAGTGCAGTTGCTCAGACCAAACCCAGGGACGAGGACGTGCGGGATGTGGGAGCCAGTACATGGTGGAACCTGTGGGGAGCAGAACCTAGGGAGATGAAATCCAACTGTTGTTTGCTTCTCTTCCCCAGGGCTTCCTTGTGGAGGCTCACCCAGACAATGCCTGCAGCCCCATTGCCCCACCACCCCCAGCCCCGGTCAACGGGTCAGTCTTTATTGCACTGCTTCGAAGATTCGACTGCAACTTTGACCTCAAGGTTGCTGAATGTGGTGCGGGAGCTGGGAGGGTGAGCACCAGGAACGAAAGGTGGCAACACCCATGACGGTTTCTTATCTGCCTTTTCTCCCTAGGTCCTGAATGCTCAGAAGGCTGGGTATGGTGCAGCTGTGGTACACAATGTGAATTCCAATGAACTTCTGAACATGGTGTGGAATAGTGGTAAGGCTGGACAGCTGCGTTTTCAGTAGAGCTTAGACTGAGAGGATGGTATGAGGGGTGGCACCTTAGGGAAGTCAGTGCTTTGGGTGGGATGGGGCAAGAGAGTCAAATGCCAGGGTTACCAAAGGATTCATGTGGCAGCTTGGGTTCCTAGTGTAATGCCCTCATCCCTGCAGAGGAAATCCAGCAGCAGATCTGGATCCCGTCTGTGTTTATTGGGGAGAGGAGCTCCGAGTACCTGCGTGCCCTCTTTGTCTACGAGAAGGGGTAGGACCTGTCCCTCCTTCCTACTCTTCCTTCAGCACTTCCATGCCAACCTGGAGCCCAAGCCTGTGCCCCAACCATTCAGCCTCAGGCCCATCATACTCTTCCTCTTGGTACTTTCTCCCCCATCCTCACACACTCTGTCCAGAGCCAGTTACTTTGTCCTGCTTTCTTTGTCCTTTTGCCTTTCCTGTCCTGATATTGGTCTTCCTTTTTCCAGGGCTCGGGTGCTTCTGGTCCCAGACAATAGCTTCCCCTTGGGCTATTACCTCATCCCTTTCACAGGGATTGTGGGACTGCTGGTTTTGGCCATGGGAGCAGTGATGGTGAGTAGCTCAGGGAGCAAGATGGGAAGAGTCAAGGCCTTTAAAGCCAGATTGGCTCTGGGATTGCAAGACAGGGATGGTTTGTACTGGATTGTCCAGATTTGTTCTAAGACTGATCCATCCACTCCCTTTCACCAGATAGTTCGTTGCATCCAGCATAGGAAACGACTCCAGCGGAATCGACTGACCAAAGAGCAGCTGAAACAGATCCCTACACATGACTATCAGAAGGGTGAGGAGGGTTGTGAAGGGCAGGCCTTTCCCACCACTTACCTGGTTCTGAAGGAGTTGAAGCCCAGGAGATGAGGGGCAGAGATGGCAGGGAGATGTCAGTCTGAGATGCTGTCTTTCCTTTTTTTACCCGTACATTAAAGGACAGGACAGGTTTAGAGCAGGAGGTGGAAAGCAAAGATGATTAAATGGAATAGTTGGGGGGAAGGGGGAAGATGGAGGACCTTGCTCGTAAGAGAGGAGGATAAAGCAGAAAAATGGAAGGAGTGGGGAAGATGCTGCCAGAGAAGGAAGACACAGGTAAGAAGGGGCTGGGTCTTCAGGCCTGGAGTCTCCAATGCCCTTATAAGGCTAAGACAGAAGCCCCGCCCCATTTCCTCTCCTCCCACTATCTCTCCACTCACACCAACCCCCAGAAAACCCACTTCCCTTCTTACCTCTGCTTCTCTTTGCTTGTGCCTTCTAACCCCAGATTCCTCATGTTCCACCCTGCTCGTCTTAACTCTTCCTCTGGCTCTTCAGAACCAGAAAAAAATAACTTTTGCAGGTTTAGCACAGGCCTCCCAGAGTGACTTCCTGTGGGCCCTGGTTCAGAATGGCTCTGTAAAAAGACTTTCTTCCACTAGGGGACCAGTATGATGTGTGTGCCATCTGCCTGGATGAATATGAGGATGGAGACAAGCTGAGGGTACTCCCCTGTGCTCACGGTGAGGCCCTCACTTCCTGTGCCCATGCCCCCAAGCCCCCAGCAGGCATCAGGTGCTTCACCTCACTCCTCTTGGCAGCTTATCACAGCCGCTGTGTGGACCCCTGGCTCACTCAAACCCGGAAGACCTGCCCCATCTGCAAGCAGCCTGTGCATCGGGGTCCTGGGGATGATGAGCAGGAGGAAGAAACCCAGGGGCAAGAGGGTGATGAGGAAGGGGAGCCAAGGGACCAGCCTGCCTCAGAACGGACCCCTCTTCTGGGCTCCAGCCCCACACCTCCCTCCTCATTTGGCTCTCTAGCTCCAGCACCTCTTGTCTTTCCTGGGTCTTCAACAGACCCCTCGCCCTCTACCTCTTCAGCTGCCATCCTGGTTTAATATTCCCCTCCGCACCACCTCTGATGACCTATTTGCACAGCCCCTCTTCCTCTCTTCAGTCTTCTACTTTTGAGGGGTAGGAAATACTTCCATCCCAGATTTCTCCCCTTATCCAGCTCCATCCTTTTGAAGGGGTTGGGGGTATAAAGGGACAGGGTCTTCACTTACTGGGTTAATAAAATTGTTTTTGTGGACTAAGGAAGGGTGAGATCATTCTCACACAGGGAAACGTATCATCCTTTGGGGAACTGCCCCTTTCTGCCATACAGGGACAAGGGTGTGCGGGGAGGAGAGGCTAACCTGCTGTCTTGGGGACAGCCCCAGTAGGCATCTGTTGTGACTCAGAGAGGGAGAGCCCCACCCACACATGAGGATGACTCAACTGGCCCTGCCTTGCCCGCAGGCCTGGACCCATTCTCTGGTCTGGATGGCTCTATTCCATTATCCACCAATTCAGCTAGCACACTGGGGACCTAGGGCTGGATATGTTATTGTGGAAGGCCTGGTCAATCTGGCCAGGCAGGGCTGAAGCAGGTGTTTAGTCCTGGACATGAAAGCAAGAAGCTCAAAATCTTGACTTTGTAGTGCCCTCAACCCTCCTGCTGCTTCTAACCCCAAGCCAGGATAAAGGAGGCAGGTCACAAGAGCTGTCCTCCATCCCGACACCCAGGCTAAAACCACACAGCACCTTGTTAGTAGAATCTTTTTTATTCAGAAAAAAAACCCAAAAAACAAAAAAGTTTTCCAACCACACACAGGAGGGGTATGGGTTGGGGGCAGGGGGTGTCTGTCCATCTAGCCCGGGCCCCCAGCCCATGTGGTTTTGGCAGCAATAAGGGGTGTGGGGTAATGGCCCAAAAAATAAAAATGGTGTATGTATGTGTGTGGGAAGGAGAGGGGTGCAAAAGCAGTGGGGAGTGGTGAGGGGAGGGCCAGACGAGGTCAGTACTGGGAACGCCGCAGGTGAGAAGCCATTTCATAACATTTCTTGTTGATCATACCGCCGTGGACACCTTCTTTGCCCATCAGCAGGACTAGCGCTGGAGGAAAGAGAGAGGAGGCTAGGACCCAGGTGTCACCACCCCACCCCCTGCCAGCTGTTCAGCAGCTGTCTAACCCTGGGGGCTGTAACCCAACCTCATCTCTCCCAACCCCCCACACACAGGCAGGCTGTCAGTCACCCTGAAACAATAGGTCTTTTCAAAAGGGGAAAATCAAGCTTAAAGGCTGGAAAGGAGCACAGTAAAATTTAGGGGTCAAAGGCTCCTGGACTGTTGACTCATATGTTCAGGCTAGAAATGGCTGTGGATGAGCCGGCCACCTCTTAAGTTTTCACAAGAGAGCTCAAAGGACAAGAGCTGAATGCTGACTTAAGATGAACCTTTTACCTCCTCCAAGAAAACAGGGAGTTTCTCCTCTGAAAATGCTCAAGGTAAGAAGGAACTTAAGAGGTAATACAGTTCAACTTCTTTATACCGTATGGTGAGGAACTGAGACAGAACTAAAGGAACAATTTAGTGCCCCAGCATCCAGCACGCTGGGGAGTAGAAACCTGGTTTGATCCTTTCATACTAAGTGATCCACACAGAAGAACCCAAAAGATTAACAAAAGGAGGTACGTTAGGGATTTTGGAGCTAGAGAAAGGGTAAGAAAAACTCACTCTTGGCAGTCATGGTGACAGTGATATTGAAGGTTGGGGCTCCACCGGTGCTCTTGGTACGAAGATCCATGGTAAATTCTCCGTCCTGCAGCAGTGAGTCCCGGATCACAGAACATTTCTGGCCCCCAAGCGTTAGCCCGTTCACGAAAAAACTTGACCGGTCTTTGCCAACCAGGATACCGACCTCAGCAGGCTGAAAAGGGAACCACGCACCCAGCAAGTCAGTCAATACACCAGAGTTCCCACCTGCCTCCATTTCTCAAGGAAGCCAAACCCCCTGGGCGAGAAGTGTATGTTATGTGCTTCGTACACATTCGTGAAATTTGAGAAACTCAGGATTGTTGGAAGTGCACAAAAACATGATCTTGAAACCTAGAGAATGTTAAGAGGAAGGGACGACATAGTCCCCTGACTCAGATGTCTATTTAGATGTCGTTTAATCGGGAAAGCAAACCCAGTAAATAAATGGGGCCAAAAACCAGTTAAGAGAATGGAGTGGAGAGCCTTGGATGCTCAGAACTCTCCTTCAGGAAAAGCAGAAGCGAAGAGGGGAAGGGAGGGGGCGGGCAAAGCAGGAGAAGCAACTTTGCCCTTATTTGGTCAAAGGTTCTGCAGGAGTTGTTAGGGGCCCGGACGCCTGGGTCTCTAAGTAACCTAGAGTTTAGGTTCAGGTAGCTATGCTCTTAAGATGAGGAAGCAAATGCCTGGGGGCATTCAGGGAAAGTTGCAGAACTTTTGGAGGGGGCCTGGGGCTAGACCCGACAAGCCAGCTCTCGGGTCTAGATACCCCGGGGATCGTATCTTCCCCTCCCCCTTACACCCCAAATCCCCACATCCGGTCCCCTCCCGCCCGGAAATCCCCTTCCCCCCCTTTAGAACTTCCGCTCCCCCTCCCCACTTCCGGGCAGTGTGGACTGGAGAGGTGGTGATGGGGACAGCAGTAGTCATCCCTTCTTCCTTCATTTATCCTGTCCTAGAACTTCTCACAAAGTTCCCCTGCTCCAGGCCCTGCCGGATGGCGGGAAGGGAGGGCGAGGGGACACCCGAGACTGGTCTCACAGGAATGCTGAGTCCGACGTGCCGACTGGCCGGGAGGGGGGCGTCGTGTGGCGCCCTAGCCGTCTCTAATGGAGTTGGGAGGGGCAGGGAACCCACGGAGGTCGAGCCAGGGACCCAGGCCATGCGACTGGGGCTCCCTCCCGTATCAGAGGAACAATGGTGGAAGGGGCGCGAGCTGGCGGCCGGAAGTGGAGCTAGGGGTCCAGGGGTCCCCAAGTCCCTTCTCAATCAAAATCCCGGGTAGAAACTACGGCGCGTGCCCAACCCGCCCTGGAGGAGGCGGAAGTGGGCCGCCGCACCGGGCGGCGCACCCTCCCCGCCCTGTGCCCCGGATGTAACGCCCCGTCGCGGAAAGCGGGGCGGCGGGCGGGCTGGGCGCCGCCGCCCGGGGCGGTGGACTAAGGGGGCCATGGAGGGGCCCGCTCACGTGCTGCCGCCATTCGCGCCACTTCCAGGGCAAGGACCGGGTCACGGCCTTTCGCCGCCCTCCGCAGACCGCGCCCGCCCCCACCCGAGTCCCTCCCTCAGGGTCCAAGACGGGCCAGCTCCCAGGACCGTGCAGGCCTCTCAGTACCGTGATGTTGACGAAGGTCTTGCCGGGGACGGCGGCCCAGACGGAGGGCGAGTCCTTATAGCCCACGATGGCTGCGTCCTGACAGGTCCCGTCCGCCATGAGGTTGTCGATGTAGGCGTTCCACCCGGCCATGGCGCTGCTATTGGGGCTGCTTTCGGGGCTGCTGCTGGGGCCACGGGCTGGGCTCGGGCTGGCGGGCGGGGGAAGACGAAGAGCTTGGGGCACGCGCTGCTGTCCGGACCGCGGCTCTGCTAGCTGTGCAGCAGCCCTCGCACCGCCACTTCCTGCTCCTCCCCACCCCCCTAGATTTTTATTTGCAAAGGGCGGTGGGGGCGGGGCCTGCTCCCCACTCCCTCTCTCCCTCCCCTCGCCTGCCCAGATACCGAACTTTGCAAATGCAATTTAAAAAATCCCTCCCCCTATTGCAAAATTTGCAGAGTTCGATGGAAAGCGAGGCAAAAAGGATGGGGGTGGGTGGGGATGAGTTAAGGTTAAGGCCCGCTCCACTCCGCCTAAACTATCTGACTTTAGTGGAGGGAAAGGGAGTGAGCCAGAGGGAAGAAGGAAAGTGAAAGAAGTAAGAAATAGCAAACTACAAATTTAGCAAATTAAGGAGGATTCGGGTAACTCAGGGTTAAACAGAATGACTCCCCCTTCCCCCACCTCTGCCGGGGGCTGGAACGGCGGGCGGCGGCGGCGGGGCGCGTGCGCCCGCGCCTGCGCCGGGGCTGGGAGGGAAAGCGCGTGGGGCGGTTGGGGCAGGCGGCGGGCTTCGCGGGCGCGCGCCCGGGCGTGCCAAGCGGGGCGGATTTGGACCCTCGGCGGAGGCCGGCAGGCCGGGGACGTGTCTCCCGCCAGGCGGAAGGGGCGGAGGCGAGGCGTGGCGTGTGCCTGGCCGCTTCTGCCTTCTTGATTTTATTTATTCAAGAAATAAGGCAGTAAAGGGAAATTTGACCAAATACCCCCGGCTGTCTTCAGAACTGAAGGCACCCACCAGGGACATTTCTGTCCCCAGCATCTGCCCGAGCGGCACAAGCGGCACTCACTGGCGCCCACCTCGACTCCAGGGGGTTGTGTCTCACTGGATTAGCCCCAGCCTCATTCCTCACTCCACGTCCCAGCCCTGCCCGAACCCCGGTCAGCAGTTTGGGTCACCGGCTGTGCCCCTTGGCCCGTTGTCTGCAGAGGTCATTGAGGACCGTGGGGCCAGACGGGCGGGCCTATTTTCCAAGGCGGAAGAATACTAAGCGGTTTCTCAAGATTGCAACTTTTTCAAGAGGGGGAATGTCCCTTCAACTTTGGCCTTTGGGGTTTTCTTTTTTTTCCCTCCTTTTTCAGTAAAACTTAGGCTAAGAACTTGTGTGCGATGAGCTCGCTCGCTGTCCACCGGGAAACGGGTGGGGCAGGACCTGGAGTCCGGCTTAGGTGACTAGTTTGCGCTGGCCGCCGGGGCCGCTGAGGGGCTTGGCCGCTTCCGGTCCCTCGGGGGAGGGGCGCCTCCCGGGCGCGAAGGGGCTTCGTATCCCTCCGGTCCTCCGCAGCGGGCGCGGCCACTCGGAACCCCCGGAGCACCCGACGCCCCCCGAACCGGTGTTCCTCGACAGCCGCCGCGGCTGAGTCACTGGCCAGCTCGGGCGGGGCCGCAGGCGGGCACGTGGCGGCGCTCCCCGCCCGCCATCCTGACCTCTGGCCTACCGCACCCCCTACCCCAGGGTGGAAATCTCCCGAGAGGGAGCGGCCAGAGATAAGGGGCGGGGGGTGGCGAGGGGGCTGGGAGACACACCGCGGGGCAGGGCGGGGAGGGGAGCTCGGGAGAGAGCTTGGGGGTGAGTCACCCGGCGCCGGCGGCTCCGGCGCCGGCAGGCTAGGTCTCACGAGTCCCGGGCGAAGAGCCGAGAAGCCGGTGACCCTCGCCCGCCGGCCGGCCAGCCGGCTCGAAACCTGCATGCCCTCCGCTCCCGGCCGGGGCTGCAGCCAAAGTCAGGGCTGACCTTACTCCCGCCACATCCGCTGAGACGGAGAGAATCAGAGTGCAGAGACCCACTTCCCCGCCATGCTAGAGGCCCACCCGACTGACCCCCGGGGGTCAGACGCTCAGAAAAGGGCACTTCACCTTCTGTCCATTCATTTTTTTGGCCACTTTTGATTCAGCACCATTCATTGATGGGCTGGGATCACGCCCTAAAGCGCCCGCGGTCGCGATCGGTGGAGAAAGGGCTTCTGACTGACAGCTTCCACGCAGGCGATAAGTGCTGTCCCAGCGGTATCAGCAGGGCGCCGCGCCAACTCCTAGGGCCTGTCTAAATTCGTCTGCCTTCCCCCTCCCCCACTCCCCTCGCCGGCCCGGAGAGGGTAGGATGGGGTGGAGCGGAGAGAGGCCGCCATGAGGACCCTGAGAGGTGAGACCCTCTCGCCTTCTGAGTGGGCAGTTCAATTTAGAGCTCTGCTCTCGGCCGGAACCCCCTCCCCAGCTCCCATTGAGGATGGAGACAGTCCCCCGCCCACCAAGTGAGCTGTGGATGTCACTCCTGCAGCCCCTCTTCCAGGCCCCCTCCCCAGCCCTGTAGGGCTCAGGTTACCCTTGGCCTTTCCTAAAGGGCACTAGTTCCTCTTTAACCTTTGCAAAAGAGGAATACAATCCTGACACCGGGAGAGACCCCCCCACCCCCTCATTCTGAAGCCCCTCTCCTCTTTCTCCCCAGGAATGGAATTAAAAATAAGGACTTTTATTGGAGAACAGAGAAAGGAGGGGATAGTCATTGACCTTTTGGGAAGGGGGCAGGTGCCTAGGGCCAAAGGCTTCTGCTTTAGGCTGTAGTGGGCACTTGGCTGCCAGCCCAGCTTCTGGGGGAGGATGGAGAGGGGGAGAGGCGGGGCTGGCTGGGGTACAGGGTGGCTCCAGGATAAATGCCCGGCCTGAGAGGGGGTAAGCTGACACTGTCCCAGCTGCCACCTAGACTCAGAGCCCAGCGAAGACATCCCAGGTCTGGTGAATCTTCCAGCCCCAGGGGATAGGGGTGGTAAAGGATGAGGGCTGTACTGGCCTGGGGGAAATGTCAGCTTGTGCTTAAGAATCCTGGAGGGATTGGAGCACACAGGATGGGGGTACCCAAGGATAGGAAAACAAGACTGTGAAGGGAGGCAGACAGAGATGACAGAGAACGGGAGTTAGAGTTGGAGTCAGGTGGTGGAATTTGGGGCCCCCGAGGATTTGGAGAAGGCTGAGGATCAGGAAAAGTGAAGTAGAGTAACAGGAGAGGCTTTGAAGGCTAGGAAGCCATGGAGAACAGAGTATTTGGCCAGGGGGTGGAGGGAGAAGGCATAGTGCAGCTTTGTGGGAGATAGAGTTCAGCAAGTAGTGGAGTTTTAAAAAGAGAGGCCCCTTATTCTGAGGATGGGAGGGTGGAACAGGAGCTGTTCTGAGTGGGGGAGGGGGCTGCGCCTGCCACTTTGGTCTGTGACCTTTTTGTGGGGTATTTTTAGCTCCAGCACCTGCCTCCTTGGGGTGGGGAAGACTCTTAAAGGGCAAGGGATTTGGGGTTCCTTAAGGGATCAGCTGTCCATACTCATTCACACCTCTCACCCTACAGCCATGGCCATGCAGAAAATCTTTGCCCGGGAAATCCTGGACTCAAGGGGCAACCCCACTGTGGAGGTGGACCTGCACACGGCCAAGGGTAACCCAGGGCCATTGAATTGGTTTACCTGGGAAGACCCCCAACTCCATCTGCCTTTGCCCCCCAGCTGCATGCCACATCCCCTCATTTCTCTGGAATCCCCTTCTCCAGACTTCTCCCCAGGCCTTGCTCTTCCAGCTTGACTCCGCCCCCACCCCACCTCCCCACCCCCCAGCGAGGAGCCTTGGTCTCTCTCCACTGCCCTCTGTCCCTTCGGCCCTTTGGAGGTAAATGGGACTCTCTGTGATCTTCCAATTCCTCCCACCCCAGGCCGATTCCGAGCAGCTGTGCCCAGTGGCGCTTCCACAGGTATCTATGAAGCTCTGGAACTAAGAGATGGAGATAAATCTCGCTACCTGGGGAAAGGTGAGGAAAGGCTGGAGGAGCCATATGTGAGGGGGGTTTCAGAATGTGGCATGTGATGTCTACATAAGGTAGAGAAGGGGTCCCCAAACTCCAGGGCATGGACTGGTACCTCTTGTCAGATCACTGGCAACATTAGATTAGAAATAAAGTGCACAATAAATAGAATGCACTTGGAAACCATATGGAAACCATCCCGTACCCCCACCCCATGCCTGGTCCACGCAAAAACTGTCTTCCATGAAATTGGTCCCTGGTGCCAAAAAGGTTGGGCCTCGGAAGAGAAAGGGGAACTGAAAGTTCTCCAGGAGCTGGGGGCCACGGGAAGAGACCTGATTGCATAGGTCTCTTGAACCCCCTGCTCTGCGCGGTCTCTCCAGGGGTCCTGAAAGCTGTGGAACACATCAACAAGACCCTTGGCCCTGCGCTGCTGGAAAAGGCAAGTAGAAGACGCACTCCTTCACCTACTGCCTCATCCCCAGAAGCTCAGGCTTGGCCAACCAAGCCTTCTGCCCCGATACCTGCATGTCTTTTTCCTCTAGCTCACATCCTGACTCCTGAGAAATCTAACCTCTGCTCTCCCCTCCTCAAACTTGCCCTTCCAGAAACTAAGTGTGGTGGATCAAGAAAAAGTTGACAAATTTATGATTGAGCTGGATGGGACAGAGAATAAATGTGAGTGAAGGGCTAGGGACACTGGATGTGGGGGCTGGTGGGGGGCGGGGGTGAACTGCAGGGGCGGGATAGGGGAGGACTGTAGCCTAAGGTCTGGTTAGGATTATTTCTGCATCCCACATTTCGGGGCACAGTGTAACTGGCGGGATTTGTACTCATCCCCCAGGCATTTCCTGATGCCTGCCCCATGCCAGGCTTGGGCCGGTCTGTGGACAAGGATGTGAAGTTGACAAGTTTCCCTAGGGTGGGGGATCCCGGGGCCTGGTGGGATGGGGAAGACATCTGTTAACTTACTCAGTACCTGGTGGTTTGGAGCTCTGGATTCTTTCTGGGGTGACCAGAGGGGACATTCTGGAAGACAGCCCTAAACCCTGTGGTTGGAGCACTCACAGTTTATACTTGCTTCCTCCAGCCAAGTTTGGGGCCAATGCCATCCTGGGCGTGTCCCTGGCTGTGTGTAAGGCTGGAGCAGCTGAGAAGGGGGTGCCGCTCTACCGACACATTGCAGATCTCGCGGGGAACCCAGAGCTGATCCTCCCAGTCCCCGTGAGTGCAGCCACCCGGCCACACCCCACAGGCACTCCACCCATCGGGGGAGGGCAGGGGAAGCCCCTAGAAAACCCACCTTCCAGACCCAGCTTCCAAGAAACAGTTTCCTGAAATGGAACCTCTCCTACTGCTGTCCAGCCCTCCCCTTTCCCACAATCCAAACCTTCCCTTCAACCTCTGTCTGCGTCTTTCCCTAGATGTAACTGGCTCCTTCACATTCCAATCCCAGGCTTAGTTACTCCAGTTTTTCATTCTGCTGTGCTCCAGCCCCAGATCGGATGGAGAGCTTCTTCATGGCAAAGATCTGGGCATTTTATTTTTGTGTCTTCTTTAATCCTTATGAAACCAAATTTGCTATTTATGGAAACTCTTTGAATTAATCACAACAATAATGTTACCATTTATTGTTACTTACTAGGCAGACTGTATAAGAGCCTGAGCTCTGGAGACAAGCTGCTGGGTTCGAATCTTGGTTTTGTCTCTTACCTAGTTGTGTGACTTCTGGCAAGTTTACTGAACCTCTCTGAGCCTCAGTTTCCTCATCTGTAAAGTGAAGGATAATAAACTGTAGCTAGTTACAGGGTGGTTTAGAGAATGAAATGAGCCAATAAAATATATGTAAAAAACTTAGAGCAGTGCCTGGCCTGTAGTAAGTGCCATGTCAGTGTTAGGTGCACGTGCTAAGAACGGTACATCCAACTTCTCTTAATTTTCCACCTAAGATCCTGCAGATAAGCAGGTGATATCCCCATTTTATGAAAATGAGGGCAGAGGCTCTGAGGAGTAAAATTATTCATCCTAGACCAGCCAGTAAGTAGGGGATCCAGGATTCCATGTTGACCTCACCTTCCCCACCCCAATCCCTTCTTGATTCCTGGAAACTGGCCCAAGTTCTGAGCACCCTCTCCCTGTCTCAGGCCTTCAACGTGATCAACGGGGGCTCCCATGCTGGAAACAAGCTGGCTATGCAGGAGTTCATGATCCTGCCTGTGGGAGCCAGCTCCTTCAGGGAAGCCATGCGCATCGGGGCCGAGGTCTACCACCACCTCAAGGGGGTCATCAAAGCCAAGTATGGGAAGGATGCCACCAACGTGGGTGATGAGGGCGGCTTTGCACCCAACATCCTGGAGAACAATGAAGGTCAGTGTGAGCACCTGGGGGGGCAGGGCCCCTGGGGTCCCCATGGAGATGGGATGCACTGGAGCCTCAAGTCCTCCCTTGCCCTCTCCCAGCGCTGGAGCTGCTGAAGACGGCCATCCAGGCAGCTGGTTACCCCGACAAAGTGGTGATTGGCATGGATGTAGCAGCATCTGAGTTCTATCGCAACGGGAAGTACGATCTCGACTTCAAGTCACCTGATGACCCCGCTCGGCACATCAGTGGGGAGAAGCTGGGTGAACTGTACAAGAACTTCATCAAGAACTACCCTGGTGAGATCCCGGCTTCCAGTGCTCCTGCCCAAGTCCCCAGCAGCTGCCCAGCACACTGGCCTCGGCCCCTCCGCTTCCACCACCTCAGTCCCTCTCATCCTTAGCCCCACTGCAATTTTCTGACCCATTACCCCTTTGTGAAGCCCTTCTGACCTTTAACCCGACTCTGCTCCCCTCCCCCACCAGTGGTATCCATTGAGGATCCGTTTGACCAGGATGACTGGGCTACCTGGACCTCATTCCTCTCGGGGGTCAACATCCAGATCGTGGGGGATGACCTCACAGTCACCAACCCCAAAAGGATTGCCCAGGCTGTGGAGAAGAAGGCCTGCAACTGCCTGCTGCTGAAGGTCAACCAGATTGGCTCGGTGACTGAATCCATCCAGGCGTAAGTGCCTCTTGGACCAGGGCATCATGGCCTCCCTCCACCCAGCTCTACCCTCTCCATCTACCCTCTTGTCCACTAACTCCAGGTCTGACTCTCGCTTGGCTCCTGACCCACCCCACCCTTTCAACCTCAAACCTTTGACTAACTCCTGACCTGACCCTGGAACTTTGTCATTGTCACCCTGCCTCAACCCGTCCCCACCCCTGCCATCCCCATCTCCCAGATTCTGCTTCTTCCCACTAGCATCTCAGGAATCCAAATTCAAGATCAGGTATCTCCCCTTCTCTCTTTCCCCAAGAACTTTACCCTCCCCACACATCTCCCACCCCCCAAAATAAAAGGGAAAGGCCCCACTCAGCCCCTGGCTTTCATCCTGAGGAAGTCCCACCAGGCCTTATCAAGTGTCCTCTCCACCCAGCTGCAAACTGGCTCAGTCTAACGGCTGGGGGGTGATGGTGAGCCACCGCTCCGGAGAGACCGAGGACACCTTCATCGCCGACCTCGTGGTGGGGCTCTGCACAGGACAGGTACTCCTGGGCCCTCCTTTGCCCAGTGTCTGAGTTTTCTTGGAGTCTCTGGCCTTCTGCCCTGGAGTTGAATGCCACCACAGGTTGCTCCCTCGGGGCTAGGTGCAATCCCTTCTCTCTAATCTCTTACAACTCCTGTAATTCTTCTCTCTTCAGATCAAGACTGGTGCCCCCTGCCGCTCAGAGCGTCTGGCCAAGTACAACCAGCTCATGAGGTACCGTGGGCACAGTGGGCCTGGGCATCCGGAGCTGAGGGCTTTTGGGTTGGAATATCACAGCCCTGACCATGTCTGTCTTCCAGGATTGAGGAGGCTCTTGGGGACAAGGCTGTCTTTGCTGGACGCAAATTCCGTAACCCGAAGGCCAAGTGAGAGGTTGGAGGCCCCAGGAGTGCACAGGACAGACCTGGGCCTTCAAACCCTTCCCTCTGAAATAAAACACTGGTGCCAGCCAAGGCAGTGGCCTGCTCGTTTATGGGAAGGGGGAGAGGAGATGCTGGTCCCTGAGCTGGATCAGACAGGAGGTGGAGAGGTAGGGGCAGGAGGGGCGAGTGGACATGGAATCCACTGCTACAAGGAGGAAGTGAGGGACTGGTCAGAGAGGAAGTTGGGCTGGATGTAGAACCATTACCCTCACATTATGGAAGGAGGCAGGGGAAAGCCAGTGTATTATGGGAAATGAAGCTGAAGAGGAACTGACAGAACATTGAACCAGCTCCAGAGAGGTGGGGGACCAAGGTCTGACATCACCATGAGGGGGAAGCTGGATCAGATCTGCCCGGAAATGGAAATTTATGGGGTCTGCGGAGGGCACTGCAGTGCTGAGGTCTGAGTGCTTGTCTTTATGAAATTAAGGTACTTGGTGAGGATGGTCATGGAAATCAAAGCAGCTACATTTCCATGGAGCCTCGAGGATAGGAAACTATTCTCAATATTTAACATACATTGACCTGTGCAATCTTTGAAATAGTCCTATCAAGTAGTTACCATTATTATCCCCATTTTACTGGTGAGGAAACTGAGTCACAAACAGGCAAAATACTTTACCCAAGGTGATAGGAAGTGGCACAGCCAGGATCCAAAGCTAGACCACTTGGCCGTAGTGACTGTGCTCTTAAAAAATATCATCCCTTAGGAATTTCTGCAAAAGTGCCAATATTTGGCCATCTTTGGCCCACAAAACCAAGTTTATATTATTCAACCTATAATTATTTCACCTCCTCTCCAGAGCCTACCTTTCTCTCTGCTAACGAACCAAGACATTGGGTCAAACGGTGTTTATTGAATGTAAAGTAACCCCAGCCCCATGGGGAAGAAAATTCCAGGACGAACAGAATAATACAGATTAAATACCCACCTGAGCATTCACACTTTCACATACTAACAAACACACACACGCACGCACACACACACCCCACGTACGTATCTGAGCTCGAACAGTGACAAACACTGAGCCTGAGTGACAGCTGTTAGAAGGTGGGGCTCCAGGATGGGTTCTAATAGCAGCAGCCTCGTCCCTCCCTGCCCCCGCCCTGCCCCGGGGAGCTGGGGTGCCTAGGAGGTAGATGGCAACTCTTCCCCGCTCTGCCGCAGACGCTTCTTGGCCCGGATCTCGTTCATGGCCTCTTCAATGGAGCGTGTGTCCCTCTTGTTGGCCACGGGCACTAGGGGCAGATGGGAGAGTGGGAGGACCTAGAAGCCCTGTGCCTTGGCCTCCCCTTTCCTTCCCCCCAATACTGTGCTCCTCTTCCCTGCCCCCTCCCAGCCTCCACTGTGGCCTCACCACAGCCGTAGGTCTTGTTGGCCTGGAGCATGTGAGCCGCATCCTTGGCTGCCCCCTTGCCGATAAGGTGGCTGTATTTGTCCTTGTAGTCGCTGGCCGGGCTCACCACCACAGGTCCCTGCTGGGCCGCCTCCTCCTCTTGTCGCTGGGCCAGCTCCTGAGGGTGCAGAGGGGGAAACCGGAGCTCAAGGCCTGGCCCCAGCCCCTCCCAGATAGTGGGTGGCAGGGTCCCAGGGGCTACCAGGCATAACTCACCTTCAGCCTCCGTTTCTCCTCAGCCTTCTGGGGGTCCCACTCCTCGCCACGCCTGTAGGAGTCCAGCTCTTCATCTGAGGGTGCAAACTCCTGGGAAAGAAGTGGGTGATGGGGTCAAGGTTCCACATACATAGTTTACCTCATTCTTCTCCCCTGGGGTAGGGTACAGGCTGAAAAGGAGAGAGTGGGGTACTCAACTCGGGCCTTTTACCTTTTTGAAGATCATGACATAGCGACACTCATCATCTTCCCCGAAGGAGAAGGATGTCAGACCAGCCACTTCCACCACATCATGTCTGGGGAGGGGGAGCCAAAGGGAAAGAGGATGTGAAGCCATGAGGGGGGCCAGTGCCCTCCTCTAGGAGGTTCTCCCCTCTGAACCTTTCACCCTTCGTGCCTCCTTGACCACCCACTTCCTGTCGCCCCAGCCCAGAGACACTCACAGTATGCTCCTCTCTATCTTATTCATCGGCTGAAACTTTTTCTTGATCTGCCCACTGTCTTGGATGAAATCTGACACCTCTTTCTCCATCTTGGTAGAGGGAAAAGGGAAGAAGATATGAGATGATGGCTCCACCCCACTACCCCTCTCCCCAGCCGGGCCAACAGGCTTGCGCCTCCCACACCTCTCCCACCTCGTGCCACTGACTTCTGGGCTTCACCTCTCTTAAGACAGTTTCCACACAAACTAAGTCCTCAACCTTCCAATTCTAACTTATTGTTGGTCCTTTCTGAAGCTGCTTTTGGTCTCTCCAGTTGTTCTCACCCTTTTACGAAATTCCACTTTCTGTTGTTTCTCTTGCTCCTGTAGTTTCTTCAGGCGGGCTGCCTGCTCTGGGGGCAAGAAATGGCAGCATGAGGTCAGGGGTGGAAGTATGGGTGGTGAGAGGGTGTAAGACTTTGGGAGGGGTCTTGTGTCCACTGGGAGGTGTCAGGGTAGGAAGGGAGGATTACTGTTGATTCGCCAAGCATTTATTGATATTTACTCTATCCCTGATATGGTGCTAGGCCCTGAAGTACAAAGAGGATGAAGACACACCTGTGCCCTTTAGGAGCTCACAGTTTAGTGGGAGAAACAGAGATGAGAATCACGCTCAACCCTGTTTCCCATTGGGGAAACCAACTAGCAAACATTTATTTATTGCTTACAACATACCAAGAACTCTAAGGCTTGGGGAGATAATGGGAACAGACCCAGCCCTGGCCTCAAAGAGTTTATCATCTCATTGTCTACACAGGATAGAGGAAATTATTTAACTTCCTATATTTTGTAACACCCCCACTTCTTATTTCTACAGCCGACATGAAGCTGAAATGGCCAGCATTTTTCTCCTCTGGGAGTGCAGGTGTCTGAGCTGTAAAGGGAACTCGATACCTTTGGGTCTTACTGTCCCCTCTTCTCTCTTCTGCCATTTCAAATTGCTGACAATCTTAAGGCCTACTTCTTCCACAGGATCAGAACCCCTTCAGCTGCACTGAATATGTTCCCATTTTCCTAATCACTTCATGTCTTTGCACACGTTGTTCCTGCTGCTTGAAATGCTCTTCTTCCCCTTGCAAACTTTGAGATCCACCATGAGTCAGATGGTGAAAAATTATTTCTTCCTCTGGGGCCCAAGCACATTTGGTTCAAACACCCACTACAGCACGTGCTGAGAACTAAGAGACTGTAACTTTTGTCTTCCCTACCGCACTATGAGCTCCTAGAAGCCAGGGACCCTGTTCCTTTCCTATTCAGTTACTCTCTGTGGCTCCAGAGCTTGACAGCTCAGGTGCGCTCCTTCCCTCAACCTCATGGGCCCTGACTGTCAGTGCACCCCATCTTGGTCACTGACTGTTCTGACTTGAGAGTCTTCTCTCTGCATCTGAGGAGGTGACTTAAGATTATGGTTAAGCACATGGGCTTAAAAGTCACACCTGGGTTTGAAAGGCCGCCATAAGTAACCCTGTAACCACAGGCAAGTGACTAAACTCTGAACTTCAGCTTCCTAGTCTGTCAACGGCCGCTGTGAACCACCTAGTCAGTCGTGGTGAGTATTAAGTAACTTAGTTCCCAGGTCCCATTATGCTCCCGCCTTCCTTATAGCTTTCAAATATCTGCCTGGAGCACTGTGTTGCCCTCTTACTAACTGAATGATCTATTCTTCAGATCTCAGCTCACTGCAGGCTAGGTTAGAAGCCCTAGGTAGTTCCACTCCTAACAATTATTTTTCTTTCAGAGCATTTATAAAGTTGACTTTTAACTCCTGTGTGATCATTTTCATCAATGCTCCGGACTGCGGGCTCCTTTGGTGTGCCCCTGGCCCTTAGCAACCATTCAGTAAATATGGATGTTAGTTCGACATTAAGCAGCACTTGAGCACTTTGAAGGCACCCAGCCTGTCCTGGCCTCCCTCGAACGGGTGGGTAGCCGGTGTCCTCCCCCCAAGGCACTCATTCTGTCAGACTCATTCACACGCTGCGGAGCCAGCAGAAGAGGCCTGCACCGCTCAGCGGGCCGCGCCCTACACTGGAAGTCCAACTTGATCCACCAGTAGAGAAGTTACTCGGCTGGGAGACTATGGCCAATCGGACCGGGTAGGGACCTTCTTATTCCTCCAATCAACATTCACGACCCGCCCAGGGAACTCAGGAATTTCAGGGTACAGATAGGAGAAATGTTGGAGCGCGGCAGAAGGGATCGGGTTAAATCAAGTAGGCGGGGCATAAGGGCACTGAACGGCTCCAGCAGCCAATTAGAGGTGCTGAGGGTGGGGTGGGCTAAGAGGATAGTCGAACAAAACTTAATCGGTAGACCTTTAAGTTGAGGAGGCCAATAGGGAAGAAAGGGTTGCGGATGGACGTATCCTGGATCCAATCGGAAGGGGACGAGGTCCACGGACCGGAGCGCCGGTAGGGCAGGCGGGGCCGAGCGGTCGATCTCACCGCCCTCCGATCCGTAGGCAAGAAGGGGTTGGGTGGGGTTCAGGGCAGCCTACCAATCAGACCACACCACCGGCGGACAGGCGGGCCCACGGGCGAATTGAAAACAAGGACTGCGGAGGGCCAGGGCAGGAAGAGGCAGGGGGCTGGTGCTGAGCTTCAGGGAGCCAATCATTGTCCGCTAAGAACAGCGGGCGGGTTAGCAGTCCTTATAGGGACTCGGGGGGTCTCTGAAGGGGCCGGTCAGGGGTCTTTCAAGGTTGAGAAGGCGGGGTCATCCAAAGAGGAAGGAGTGCGATCCTGAGAACCGGGCGAAGAAAGCCGGCTATGAATTTGGGATCCTCACCTCGGGCCTTGCGCCGAGTCTCCTGATCACCGAGGCTGGGTGGCTTCTCCATGGAGCTCAGGATGGAGCCCAGTAGGTCCGCCATCTTGGGAGTGACTGAGAGGGGGCGGTGCGTCTTAAAGGGAAGGGCAAAATGCCTTTAAGGCCGGAAACACGTCGGAGGCGGAAAACCACGCGCCCGCCCCGCCCCGGCGCGGCTCAGATCCCGGTCTGGCGCGCCCGCAGCCTTCCGCCGGCCGAGGCCCCGCCCCTCCCCGCCGCCCGCAGACAGAGGCCGGAGGCTGGCTGGTGCAGCGATGTTTAATGGCAATTCGTAGAAACCAAGCCCATGCACAAGTAGAAAGTGCTCGTGGAGCCGGCAGGAGGCTCCCGCCGCGCCAGGAACCACAAGCCCGGTCGTGCAGCCCTCCCTGCGGCGCCTTAAATAGATTCTTCACTATACTCTGTATGTTACATTATGTACACGGCCCCTCCCCTCGGGGACGGGGCAGGACTCCGCAGCGCATTTCTATATACACCCCCCCCTTTGGCCCCGAGATTGGTGGCCGGAGTCGGTCGGTTGACGGGGAAAGACAGGGCCAGAATGGGAGGAAACAGACGCAAACATGCGGAGTCGGGGTGGGGGCACGGTCAGCCCTGAAACACGAGGGGCGCGCGCGTAGCGAAGGCAGAGGTGGGACCGAGGCAGATACATTCAGAGACGCGTCGAACAAATAAATAAGGCAAGTCAGGAAGGGGCCGAGGTGGGCACAGGCAGGGAGGGAGCTGTGGAGAAGGGGCAGGCAGGGCTCCGGAGGTCACAGCTGAAGATGCAGGTATGTGGGGCGTGGGTCTTCTGGAACCGGGGACTAAGAGAAGGGGGCGCGACCCGGAGGGAAAAGGAGGAGGCAGGGGTGGGAGAGGGAGTTCAGCACTTCGGAGGGGTGGGGAGTGGAGACCCAGGATGGGCTAGCACAGAAGTGACGGGAAAGCTGCCGACAGGGGGCTCCCCCTCCCCCAGAGAGCCCTCTCCCTGTTAAGACTGCAAGAAGCGGCCCCCAGGGTGATGAGAAAGGCAGTGGAGAGGTCAGGTGGCCAGCCCGGGTTGGGGAAGCCCTTCCAGCTCCTGGTTCTGCTTCAGTTCCCTCATCCTGCGGAGAGACAAGGAAGGAATCAGAGGAGACCGGCTGGCTGATCAGGGCGGTGGGATGGGGAGGCGGCGGCGGGGCCCAGTCCTCCCCAGTGAAGGAGAGGGCAGCACCTGTGTCGGCAGCGCCGCAGGAATCGCATTATCTTCCGGGCTGCCTGGTCCTGCTTCTTGGTGAGAAAGGAGCCTCTGGTGGAAGGAAGAAGAGATGAGACCGCACCGGACACTCAGGAATCACCTGCCCTCCGCCCCTTAGGGACCTTGGCAGGGGGAGGGTGGGGGAGGAGCAGGATGATGTGTTGGGAGTCCATGGGCAGTGGGCGTGGACACAGTGGGTGCGCACTGAGGGCTGGAGGGTTGGGCCGTACTTGTTGCGGGCAGGCAGGGTCCCCGGGGGCCGGCGGCGGTAGGAGCGGTATCGCTGCTGGATGAGGACTGCCGCTCGGCGGCTCTGCTGAAATCGCTTCTGTTCGTAGTAGCTTCGGAACTTGCTCTGGATCAGGATGGCCGCCTGGGTCATCTTCTTATAGAGTGCAAACTGCAGGGGTGGGGAGGAGGGGCAGGGGCTGACATGGAGGGACAGAGACCCAGACCCCTAAGGGTCACCCCCCACCCCGTTTCAAGTTCAGTCGATGCAAGTCTCTTTCTCTAATCCACACGCTCACGGAAGGAAAGGCTGAATCATCACAGACAGCCTCACACCCAGGTCTCATGCCTAATACCTTAAGTGCAATCCAGGTCAGCTTGTGGAGAGAAAAGGGGAGTTAGGGCTCCTGCAGCATTCTGGATGCTCTGGGATGGGGTAAGTGGGTGCGCATGTGGGTTGGTGGATATGCTTTCAAGAGAGGACAGCCTCACCTGTTTGTACTTCCGGTAACAGCGCTGGATCACAGCCGCTGCTACCTCCTGCTGTTCCTTCAGCCGCCGGCCCTAAGTGGCAAGAAGGAAGTCTCAGCACCTGGATCAGTTAGGAACTGCCCACCTAACTGACATCTGACCTCTTCTTCCAACGTGCCTGGGGTCCCTTGACCCTTCACCCTACCTTAGATCTGTCTGGATGATTGCTATCCCCCTCAAAGTCCTGGGAACCTATCACCTCCCCACTCAAGATTGTGTAATTCATCTCCTGAAGCCCCCAAGCCTCTGACCTTGTATTTTCGGAAGGCTGTCTGGATGACTCGGGCTGCCTCGTACAGTTCCCGCTGCTCATGATCTGACAGGGTCAGCAGGGCAAAGTCACTCTCCATCTTGCCACTGGCAGATGCGGAGAGAAACTCTGCCCAAGAAGGTGCTGGAGGGACAGCCAGGCGACCCCGCTCAAATGGCAGCTCGCTGTAGGGCACAGGGATAAAAGATGTCCTGGACATCTAAAGTCCCTCTTCTCCCAGTTGGGCGCTGCTCTGAAGGCAGAGCCCCAGTAACAGGGTCTGGAGAGTGACTTCAGAGCTCGCCAGCCAGTGCCAATCCCTTCCTCAAAGGCTCTGGCCATAGGGCAGCTTCTTCCCTCACTCTCTCCCTCCCATGTTCCTCTGAAGGATCTGGAGGCTTTGTCCTAAGCTGGTCACCTTGGAGGGGCTGAGCTGGGGAAATGGTCCACATTCTCCAGGTAGCTGGCCAGCCAGGACATGGTCTCACTGAGCCCCACCGCTCCCGTCCGCTCCCGTATTGTGACTCCGGCCTCAGAGAGCCCACCGAAGTCCTCTCGTTTAATCCGCTCTGGTGTGGCTTCAATGATCTGCTTGGCCAGTGAGATCATGTCCACCTGGATGAAGGAGAAGCTGGGTGAACCTTGAGGGGCCCCCCAACTGTTCCTGCTCTGCCAAGGCCATAGCATAAGTTCACTTCCTATCTTTCTCCTATCAGCACCTGACAATGAGGCCTCATGGATGGCTGCCCCCATTAACCCTCTCTTTCTCGGCCAGTGTTCTAGGTTCACTTACACTCCTTGGGGTCCCACTCAGTACAGCCCTGTGTTGAGATGTTGTGGAAAACATAGGCTAGGAAGGATGTACAGCACATGGGGATTCAAAAGCTGGGCAAATGAAGGGCTTAGGCTTCCAGGCTGACTGCCCACTGTCCCACCCAGCCTGCCCATGCCAGCTCCCACAGATTTGGCCATGTCTGCCACCCCCTCCTCCCACAGACTTGGCCATGTCTGCCACCCCCTCACCAAGAATCAGCTGAGTCCTTGCCAATCATGTGACACCTTATTGACTAGCTCCAGCCTTGCCTCTGCTCCAGCCCTGCAGCCTGCAGCACTTCCTGCTGGTTTCACATAAAGCCGCCTACCGAGTGTTCTCTAAATCTGTTGCACTTTAGTGTTCCCCGGTTAATCCCTTAGTCTCTCTAAAGCAGATATGTCCCAGGCCCTAGCAGAGAAGCAGGCTGCTGCATGTGGTACATTCTCCACTCTCTCATGGGTACATTCATTCCACAAGACTCTTAGCTCTTACCATGTGCAAGCCTCCCCCTACCCCCTAGTTAGTGCCAGACACTTCCGCTTCCATCTTGCCGACCTCTCTGACCTCTCTGCTCCTCCCTCCTACCCACTTCCTGCCATCGCTCTTGTCCCTTTATGGAACAACAGGTAACCCCTACCACCCAGTTCTAATTGAAGATATTCTCCAGAATTTTAACCTCTGAGGCCTCATAACTTCTGACTTCCAAGCTCTGACAGAAGCTTAAGCAGAGGGTTACCTTGCCTGTCCCCAAATGAGGGTAAATGACCCCTTCTTCCCAAACTGCCGCCCGGCTCTGGTTCTGTTTCATGTGGTGGCTGGCATCACCCCAGCCCTGCACCCCCCCCTGCTTGTAGCCCTCCACCTAAGTGGTACCGGGATCACATCCACAGCTGGTGGACTATCGGCTTCCTCGGGAGCAGCCCCAACGTCCAGGGCTGGTGGGAGAGGAGGCGGCGAGGGTGGGGGCCCTCTGGGGTTGGTGGCTTCATAGTCCATGAGGAATAGGGGGGCCTCTGGGGCACCAGAGGAGAGCTGGCCTGGGACCATCTCCATAGTCATCTCAGAGGCTGGCAGAGGAGCAGGGGGAGGACTCCCATCTGCGGCGCTAGAATAGGCTGATGTGACGGAGAAAGTGCCATCTGAGAGCTCTGAAGGTGAGGAGACACTGCTCAGGCCTGCGAGGGGAGGGAAGGGGGTGTGAGCATAAGGCACCACTTGCCCCCTCCTCACTTTCCATCTCCCTGGCCTTGCTGCTCTTACCTCCCCATCCCCACCACCTCCTCTCTCCTCGCACTGTCTCCCACCCTCCAGCTTTCTCCTGGCCTGTGTTTCCACCCGCATTCCCCTCTTAAACCCTCACCAGTGTCAGGGCTGGAGGAGGGTGGTGACAGGGCAAGTGGGGGCTCAGCAGAAGCTTCCTGCCTTTGCAGTTCCTCCAGGCAGCGGGCAAGGCGCACATGACCCCGGGAATGAGCCACAGATAGGGGCAGGCGGCCCAGAGAGTCAGGAATGCTCAGCGCCTGTCTGTTCCAACGGAAGAGGAGCACAGCAGCCTCCAGGTGGCCCAGGGCACAAGCCCACATCTGAGGAGAAGAGGGCGGAGGTGGAGGTGAGGCATGGGCCTGTAATTACTCCTTCCCTGCATCCCCCAAACAATCTTCTCCTTGAAGAACTGCTCCCGTTTCCCATTGTTCACATGTACTAGGAACCAGCATCCTCACCAGAGGGGTGCAAGAGAAGTGGTCCACATTGAGTGGGTCAACCTCTTGCTCCAAGTCCAAGCTTCCCGTCTCCACACTCCTGGAGGGTTTGGGAAAGAGACAGCGGAGCCCAGTTAGGGATAAAGGAGGCCCAGCAGGAACTTCAGAATCAAAGGGGCTGGTAAGCACTAAGGTCAGCAGGATGAGTAATCAAAGAGATTAACGACCATAAGGAGGTCAAGAAGTCAGCACTGTAAGTCAGAGGACATTAAAACTCCCCCAAGTGCAAACCCTGTTCCAGCCCCCCTTCCTTCCCACAGTGA